CAAAATTCCACATACAGCTTTGTGAGATTTTGTATGTTTGTGTAGTTAGAGTGAAACACTGCAGAAACACACTAAATTCAGAAAGCTGCACAAATATTATTTTATTTTTATATGAAAACTAAATTTAAAACTTCCTAAACTTTAAATGGCTAGGTCTAAAAGAGAACAACTAAAAAAAACCCCAATTAACTATTTTTTTTAAAGCTCCCAAAGGGGAAAAAAACCAATAGAACAGGGGTCTCCAACCTTGGCAACTTTAAGACTTGTAGACTTCAACTCCCAGAATTCCTCAGCCAGCTTTGTTTTGCTGGCTGAGGAATTCTGGGAGTTGAAGTCCCCAACTCCCTGCCTGCTTGATTGCAGACAGGGAGTGGCTTGCTGATGGAATGGATTCAGGCAAGTGAAGCAAGGCAAGCGTTGCGACGAGCAGCTAAGGTAAGCAAGCTGGAGGGGGAAAACTTTTTTCCTTTTACATGGCTCTGGCGATCCCAGCTGAGTTGCCTGATTAGCAGATCATCAGAGCTTGGATCGCCAGAGCCATTTAAGGCTCGTCAGAGCTTTTTGGGCTGGTCTGCCTGGTTACAGGAGAACGACACCCAACGTATAAGACGACCCCCAACTTTTGAGAAGATTTTCATGTGTTAAAAAGTCGTCTTATACGCCGGAAAATATGGTAATTATTTATGAACTATTTAAGTGTAACAGAAGTGAAATGATTTACTGTTTTCCTATTCCTACTGTAATTGGTGTAGATATCTGGATGATTCAGATGTATCAGGACTCAACCATATTGGAAAGATTTTGTGGGAAAACTTGGAAAATCAAGTACATATAATCTTCAAGAAACAACAACTCAACATATAGATACTGAATAAAATGCAAATGACTTTTGTAAGAAGAGACTGATGAAGATATATATTTTTACTGAGTATTCAATTATACATAGTCGGTGAAAATCAGCTAGCAAAGACCATAATATGGAAATTATCAACACTATTAATAAATTATGTGTTTCTTAGAGAGAAAACTTCTAGAAATGGACAAAAAGTTGAAAAAAGAAAGAGAAAAGATATGCAGAAGTTTCATAAATTGGGTTTGTTTTAATCAATCTGACTCAAAAATGTTATATATTGATAAATATCCATCCATGGACAGAACAATATTTTACAATCTGGAAAAGAAAACCATGTTATCTCATATTATTTGTTCATAACCACCTATCAAACATAAGACATGATTTAATAGGCATATAATTAGACTATGATTAGGAAAAGTATAAAAGAATTTATGTAGAAACTGTTTCACTTGTCTAAGAAAGAAGGTTCAATCTGTATATTGGCATGGAAATATATTAGTAAATTAATTAAATTAGATTCTAATAGGTTATCTGGGGAGAAATTCTTCTTTCAAGGAAACCCTTCCTCCAGGATCTATCAAAATTCCCAACTATATCTAGAAGCATATTACAAAATCTCAATTCCATCGTATCCCTATCTGGCTTCACTTTCAAGGATTAAGGAAGAAATAAGAGAGATTTTTGGAGAGTGATGAGGACCTGATTTTTCATAGTTTTTCTGATTCTGTTCAGTCTTTCAAATTAATCAGATATTCCAATTATTTCCCCTTGTACCTAGACTCCAAAATATCTTTGGTGCTTCTTCCCTATCCATCATTACAGGCAGAGGTGAAACTGTCTTAGAGTAAAACATACTCCTGGGGGAAGGCAGAGGGGCTCCAGCACAAGTAGCAGTCAATGGGATGCAGAACGAATGTTCACTGATGCAGTTAAAATGCAGACAAAAGTCCTCCAGGTTAATTTGCTGAATTACTGGGGGGTGGGGGGGAGGCAACTGAATTTAGTTTTTTTAGAGGGTGAAGGGGAAGAAAAAAAATTCCATTGAAAGACACACCAAATCCTCTTCTGCAATTTTGACATTTTCTTGTCTGCATGCATCTGCAGATTGCATGCATCCTGCCTTTGTCAAGTTTTGCTGTTCCTTTGTGAGGCGCTGAGCAATCTGCATCTCCTGCAGAACATTTGAAATAAAAGGAATTGCAGATGCAGCAGCTCTGGAGGGCAAAATGCAGAGGTGAAATCTGTAACTCAGTTTAAAGGAGACTTCTCTTCCCTCCCTCTCTCCCTTAAATTAAGTAGTTCATTTAATCCCAGAATTTTTAATAACTTTCACAGCAGCAAGGGCTATTTTTAAAAAGTCTATACTCTGTACCTCTCATTAATTACTATCAGATTTCTACTCCATGGAACTTTCAAATTCTGAATCAATATGTGGAGCAGCTTTGATCTATAACTGCACTGTCTTCAGGGCGTGAGAACAAAGGGAAAGCACCTTTCTACCCAAGAAATCTCAGTTCTTCTATGAAAGTTGTTCTGATCTGGATCAACTACTACTAATGGATTGAAACTGGATGCCACCGAGACTACCAGCTGCTGTATATCCTTTCCTCTTTTCCACTCTCATGCAATGAATTGTAAATCATGGTGGCAATGTTGAATTACAGCTTTTGTGGAGCTGTAGTTCAACAGAATAGCTCAACATTAATTTTTAAGATGTTCCAATATTTTTTTAAAAAAAAACCCTGTCTATGAAGTCCTCAACAAAAGGCTTGGATATTAAAACAGGATATGGTAACAACGGACCATACTGGCATCCAGATGGTCATGAAAGCATTCTGTTTGCTCAGCTCACTCATCTAACCAAGCTATTCTTCCCTCATGTCCACTCACACAACTGCTCGACTAGTGTTTCTCAAACTAGGCAACTTCCAGATCTGTAGATTTTAACTCCTGGAATTCTCCAGTCAGGACAGAGCATAGTAATTGCTAATAATTCTGTGAATTGAAGTCCACACATAAAGAGGTTTCTGTGGTTGGGATAAAAATTGCACCGGAGCGTCTGCATTGGGGATCCTACTCTTATTACAGTACAAAGTGCTACTGGATGCACAACCTTGGTTTTTTAAATTTTGTCAATCTTAAACTCACTGAGTAGTGAGTTGTGGGATTTAGCCCATGGGAAAGCCTGTTTACCTTCAGTTTTGAGCAAGTACTTTATTTTCTAGAGATTCATGTTCAAGAGATTTTATAAGGAAGAAAAGATCAATACTCTTGGCGCTTCATTTATAACTTTTAAAACTGCACATTATTATTTACTCAACTTTTTGCTTTGCTCCCAATGCAGCTTAGTCTGAAATTCCAATTCAGTGCTGTGAAATCTAGTCCCCGGTGCTTTGCTAGAAGAACGTTGCACTTGTACAATGCTCTTAAAATATCCAGTGCACATCCTTTAGTGGAGCTGAAAACATTGTAAATATTTTTCCGTGCCTTCCACATGGTGCAATAAGCTATTCCCTAGCAGTTCTTAAATCTTACTGAAATAATGAAGATACTATTCAGATTTGTTGATTCTTTTAGATAGTAGTCACAGGAATTAAGCTTGACTGAAGGGATTTTTAAATTCTTTTTTTAAGAGTAAAAGTTTTGATTGCAGTTGGGATACTGGAAGCATGGAATGGGATGTTTAGGCACAGACCCTTAGCCACTCCTCCTTTGCCCCCAGCTACCCACCTCAGCCCATTTACAGCCATCTTTCCTCCTCCACTGGCCCTACCGGGTCATTCTCCACCGCCAATGGGCCAATGGCCCTCCACCTCTCCCCTTTTGTCCCTGCCCATTCACCCAAACACTGTTTGACCCAGGCCTTTGGCTGCATGGGACAAATAGCTCCCAGCCAATCGGGTGGCAGGCAGAAGCAATGGTGCTGTGGGCGCAGCATGCGATACAAGATTTTTTAAAAAAGTACTATAGCTGTGCCACAAGTTTTGGGGCCTTGCAGTTCTGTCACCAGGAGCGGAAGAAGGGGGAGTAGCAACCTCAGGGGCTACTGGGGGGCAGACAGGTGAGAGTGTGTTGGGGACACCAGGAAGGGAGGGAGGGGTGCCTCAAGGGGGCTTCACATAGATCAGAGGTGTTCAAACCTGGCAGCTTTCAGACTTGTGGACTTCAACTCCCAGAATTCTCCAGCCAGCTATGGTGGCTGGAGAATTCTGGGAGTTGAAGTCCACAAGTCTGAAAGCTGTTAAGTCTGAAGACCTCTGACATAGACAGCTTGGCTTGCAACTCAATCAGCTCCAACAAAAGAGAGGAGGAGGAGCAAGGTGGGTATGGCTTCTGATGCTGAGGGCAGGGGCTGGGGGGGGTCATGCAGGCAAAGGCAAGGCCAGCACTTCTTCTGGTGTTATGAGCGGAGGGGCTGGGGGGGTTGTGCAGGCAAGCGGCAAGGCCGGTGCTGCTTCTGCAATTGCAGGAGGGGCTGGGGGGAAGGTTGCACAGCCAACCTTCCTGTTAGGTGTCAGGCTGGAGTGGCAATGGCGGGGCTCCCCTAAGCCACGTGCCACCTCTGTTTACCTGCCTGTGCTACCCCTCCAACCCCCCGCCCACAATGCCAGAAGCTGCGCCGGCCTTGCAGCTCGCTGCGCAAACCCCCCCACCCCCAGCCCTGCTTGCAACTGCAGAAACAGGCCAAACTGCATTCTGGCTGATACCTTACTTGCCAACTAGTGTCCATTCATATTACCTCTTTTTATTTATTCAGTAGAACATAAATGCACTTTCTGCAAGAGATTCTTGGAGCTAAACTATATGAGCATTTAAACTTGCCGCTATTATAATTTTTCATGAGGCATATGCACAATGGAGTTCCAGGCCTGTCTTCATCATACAAGGTTGTCCATGTCCTTTTGGGTTAACACAGCTGTTGAGTAAAGCCTGTTTCATTCATGCTCTGTTATGACTGTTAATGGCAGGAGTGATTTCAAAATATGCAAGGATGAGAAACAGTTGTGAGGCTGGAGCAACACAACTTCATTGAGTGCTTGTTAGAAGGAAGAGATTGGTGAAGAACAATTTTCTATTTAGCAAAGCTCCTTCACTGAGCTTGCAAACAGGACAGCAAACATTTCATCTTTAAAAAGAGAGTTTCTAGGACATTATGCACTGTACTCCAAAGGGACTTGGTCAAGGAGAAGAATTTGCAGTGAATTGAGGAATAGAGAATGCAAAAATACAGCCCAAATCAGTGTTTCATTTTTTTCTTAAATTTTATTATTGTGTAGATTTGCATATTATAGATAAAAAAAGTTCTGTACCAATTTGAATCCGAAACTGCAGTCCTAATGCCTTCAACTTCTCAAGCATTTTCAGTATCATGAATTATTCTGTACCAAGTCCCCACCTCATGGCAGTGGCACCAGCCATGCTCTCCATGGTGTCCTGCACTGCTTCGTCCTCCACCCCTTGCTTCGTTTGTCTTCGTTCTTCGCCACTTCTTCTATTTGCTCGCCGCCATAACGGAGCAGGATGATAAGAGATGGGCATTGCAGGCGGTGAGCGACCTCCATTACGGCGGCGAGCAAGTGGCAAAGAATGAAGAGGAACGTAGCAAGACAGTGGGTGGTGGTGGAGGATGAAGCAAGGCAGGGGGTGTGGAGTTGCCTCACCTGGAGTAAAGATTAAAACCAAAAACACTGAAATTTTGTATTTGTTACAGCATACTATCATTGCCATCTATTGTCAAACCTGCTTCATTGATCTCATGCCATTCAAATGATAAAACAATAGGCAGGCCTGAAGGTAAACTGATTAACTCTCATTCTCATTTAAGGTACTAAGGAAAACCCAAAGCAGCTTGAGAATAATGGTCCTTTTCTCATTATGATACAATTTAAAATTAATGCATTTTGTGGACTATCGTTCGTTTCTGAAATTTGATGTTCTACATAATAGATAGACTGGGGGATATTTCTTTTTCTAATATATTATGTACTATTTTATTTACTAAAATAGTTATGCTGTACCATATATTTATAGTTCTCAGTAAAACAAAATATAGCAAATCAATAAAAGACAATAAAAATAACAAAACTCAAAATAATACACAGGTGTTAGGAATGCTGAATGTTGAGTCTTGCTCTTATTGGCTACAATTAGCACTTCCAGGGCTTTTCACAAATCCAGCCATCCACACTTTTTCCACATTGACGATCTTCCCATTGGCCATCAGAATTCATCACTACACAGTCTTGCCCATGTCCACTATTATTGGGTTCTCCTGTCCGCCAGCGGCTGCAGTTAGAAATTCAAAGAATTATATAAATGGCAAAATTAATTAGTCAGCACTGATAAATTGCTGAACAAACATCAAGAATCCAACAACTCAACCTAAGCTACCTATATTCTCCATTATTGCAGCAACATGCGGGCAGAAAATGCTTCAGAAAGCACAGAAGTGGGAGAGATAAAGGTACATACGGGCACACTTCTACAAGAAACAGCATTTTTTTTCTGTGTGTGCCTATGCAGCATGTCTTCGCTAACAGTGTAACACATGGGTCTCCAATAACCTTGCAGCAGGATAGAAACAGCAAAAGAAAGAGCCAGAAAATGGCCCATCTGATGATAGTGGATGACCCAGTAGACCGCATATATATATCAGCACATTATCAATGAATGAAACCAGCACAAAACAGGGCCCTGGTTGCATATTGGCAGTTCTAACCACCATCACAATCACCTGACAAAAACAAAGGAAAAACAAAACTGAAAATCAAAGTGCTGAAGGTCTGCCCGTAACAAGAAAAGATAAAACAATCAGAAAAGTCGTAAAATGGGGCAAAACTCACTTAACAAATTTCTCACTTAACAACATAAATTTTGGGCTCAATTGTGGTTGTGAGTTGAGGACTACCTGCAGTCAGATAAAAGTATGTTGAAAGAGGGAGGCTGATTGCCTAGTTTGAAAGTCTACTGTAGAAATTTCCTATCATTTATAAACAAATGAGAAAAAAAGAGAAGATTTTAACAGAGACTTACGTAAATGATGGAGAATTATTGTCTACCCAAACAAAGTTGTTTTCATTGTTAATATCACTTAGACCAATCCAGAACGTCTTTTCATTTATATGTGACGTAAGAAAATCCTGAAATATAAGCCAGTTTAATTAGTTCAGCTATAATATACCACACGAAATAGGCCAATTGTTCTGTCTTATGAACTGTCCAATTGTTTTCCAAAACTGGTCAACCAGTTGTGCAAACCATATGCAGATCATCTGAATCTGAATGCACCTAGGAGTATAAATTTAACAATTTAAAACTGTCTATCCCTTTTGTTTGGGCACATATCAAGGGAGTGTGTTTTGAAAGAATGGATTTAGTGTTCTCTAAAACACATGTACCAATCACAACAGTGTTTCCTGTCATTTGGTGACATCAAGAAATGAGAAGAGCAGAGAAGCTGGAGAAGTTAACCAATAGTTGTGCTTAATATATCCTGTATACCTGAAATCAGGATATACATACGGTAGTCCTTGACTTACAACAATTTGTTTCAAATTGTTACAACAGCATTGAAAAAACATATCACTGTTTTTCACACTTATGACTGTTGAAGAATCCCCATGGTCATGTGACCAAAATTCAGATGCTTGGCAACTGGCATATATTTATGAAGGTTGCAATGTCAGGGATCATGTGATCACCTATTGTGACGTTCTGACAAGCGAAGAGAATGGGGAAGCCAGATTCATTTAACAACCATGTTACTAACTTAACAATTCAGTGGTTCACTTAAAAACTGTGGCAAGAAAGATTGTAAGATGGAGCAAAACTCACTTAACACTATCTTGCCTAGCAACAGAAATGTTGGGCCCAGTTATGGTTGTAAGTCAAGGATTAGCTGTACTATCATTTGACAGCAAGCCTAAACACATGATAAAGAAACAAGATAGCAATAATGGCAACAATAAATATGTTATTTGTCTAGTTTTTTAACTGGGTTGTGAGGAATAGCCCAAAATATGATCAGTTACCTTAGCTGAGAACCTTACACAGGGGTTTATAATGACTTGTGACTTGTTGTCCTATATCATTTACAACCAAATGCTTTCCAGTCATCTGGAGGCATATAAAAAGGATAGGCCACGTAAAGTAATTGGGGCACTGGAGAAATACCTCCTGTGATACTTTCTATTGTCATGTATGTAATAAAATAAATGTACACCGTATACTTTATAATCTTCTCGGCTGTCCTTACCACTCTCTGTATGGACTTTCTATCTGAGGCACTGCTGTCACCAAACTAAACAGTGATGCAGTTTGTTAGAACACTCTCAATTGTGCCTCTGTAAAAAGTGGCCAGGACAGAAGGAGAAAGATGTGCTCTCCTCATCCGACGCAGGAAATGCAGAAAATGCAGATGAATTTGTGAATGGGGTTACCACCTTTCCCGGGAATTGCAAAAATGTATCCTGTAAAGGGGAGCTGCATATCATTTACCTTCATCACCAGCATATTAATATTGACTATGAGCAGAGATGGGAAGAGAGTTCAAGAGACCATTTTGTACCTTGCCCAGAGAAGCAGTTCAGGATATTTCCTCACAGACAAGCAAAGGGCCAGTAGCCAGTAGCTCAACAGCCTCTCTCATGATAAACTAAAACTAGCTCCCTCCCAGAGAAACAACAGGTCAAATGGAGCATATAGATATGGAATCCTGTTCCTGAACTGCACATCCCTCTCCACCATCTTTTCAGATGTGAAGGAGACATCTGACCCTTGTTCTCCTACTGAAGCAGGTGGCCCCTGCAGGTTTTCCCCTTCTCCTTCTTCCTTCCCTCTAATAGCTTCATAATTAGAGCCAATATGGCACCACTGTTCAATTCTCGAGAGCTGAAGTTTCCTTCCCACAAACATGTTCTTCAAGTCAATGTGTGTGGTTTAAGTTTGAGAAGTGGGAAATGTTTAATTATTCAACAGGAGCAGCTTGTTACCTGCTCAACCCAATCATCAATGATAACCAGTTTGCTTCCATTATCCTCGCATTTCTTCTCAGCTTGAGACCAGGCTTGACTCCCCATATTGAAATAGTAGCACTTTTCTCTGTTCAACAGCCAACCTTTTGGACATATCTGGCAGCCTGAAGCTATAAAACAGTTGTAGATATTTAAAGACAGATAATCACATATTCTAGAGTTGTTTTTAATCATTAAACCAATATTATTAATGCTTGTGATAATTTGATCCTGCCTAAACAGTCTATACAGTCTTGAAAATGAAGTCTAGGCCCAGGTCCTGACTGGCAAAAACTGCAAAACTGTATTTGCAGTTTTTTTAAAAAAACTTAATGGCTTTCAGATGTTCTGCTCTGCAGATAATCCGATATGAGACCTCCTGGTTAAAATTGGCTTTAAGGAGGGGTGAAATGCTCCCGGTTCGGACTGGATCACCCGATCTGGTAGCGATGGTGGTGGGTGATTCGGAGAACCAGGAGCAGAAATCCCTGCCCCACCCTCATGCCCGGCTGAGTTGCCTGATCGTCAGAGGCTTTTGTTTTCTTTTAAAAGCATTTTTTTTTGCTTTTAAAAGTAAAAAAAAAAGCCTCTGATGATCACACAGCTCAGCAGGGATCGTCAGAGCCTTTTAAAAGCATTTTTTCTACAACCTCTTTGGCTGAAGAGGTTGTAAAAACAATGCTTTTAAAAGGCTCTGACGATCCCAGCTGAGTTGCCTGATCATCAGAGGCTTTTTTTTTCTTTTAAAAGCAAAAAAAATGCTTTTAAAAGAAAACAAAAGCCTCTGACGATCAGGCAACTCAGCTGGGATCGTCAGAGCCTTTTAAAAGCATTGTTTTTACAACCTCTTCAGCCAAAGAGGTTGTAGAAAAAATGCTTTTAAAATTAAAAAAAAAAGTTGGTCACGCCCACCCAGTCACATTATCCCCACCACCACCACCAAAGCACACCCACAGAACCGGTAGTAACAAATTTTACATTTCAACACTGGCCCTAAGGTTGTAGCTGCCATACTGGCCTCCCTGTTGCCCAACAATATCCCTACCCAATCTGCTACATTTTTTGATTGCCAGATGGCTTATAGCTCTTGGGACTTTGATCTGCCCCCAGATGGCATGAAGTGTGGGGTCAATCCAAGAGTTCCTCACCACCAGGGCAATCCTGGGCGTGACCTAAGTCTCCAAGAGGCTAACATACACACTCAGCACTGTGCATTAGACATGGTTTGTATCCCAGAGCAGTCGCAATCTGGGAATGGAAGATCTCACCACCAGTCCTTTGCCATAATCAGATTATTCTCTTATCACCTTTTTCATCTTATCAATGCTGCTGCCACAATGTGGCCAGGGGAAACTATCTTGGTCCACCACACTTGACTTGGGGATTCCAGGGTGGATTATTATTATTTTTTTTCCCCTTAGGTTCTATGGGTGGTTTGACTGAGGCCCTGATCAGAACCTGGAACCAAATATATTAATTTGTATCTATCCTATTTAAATCTCCAGAGAATATGCTTAATAATATATAGTACTATAACCAATGCTTTGAGGCATGTGGTAAAATTGGGCTACAGTTCAAAACTTGTAGCAGAACTTTCATTTGTACTTGTATTGTTTAATTCAAACGTCATCAGCCTAGTACCGTGTTTCCCCGAAAATAAGGCTCTGACTTATATTTTTTTGAACCCTGAAATAAGCGCTTGGCCTTATTGCTCTGCGCGCAAAAGCCCGATTGAGCTTATTATCAGGGGATGTCTTATTTGGGGGGAAACAGGGTATCAAACACAAGCTTTCCTCAACACAGCCTCAATTACAACAAGACTGAGTGCTTAACTCTGAAGGAGTAACATCTTATGAATCGACAGACAGAGGAATTGTATCTTACCATTAATCTGATAGACTGCATTGATTAAATCAATGACTGTCTTCGCATTTCCACCACTTTGAATCGTTATCGCGTTTATCTTTTCATTCACTAAAAGTACAAATTTACAGGAAAACAATTAAATGGAAATAAAACTTGATATATAACATTACTTTTCCCAATCTGTGTCTTACAGTATGTTGAAACTCCTATACCTATCATGTCCTATTGACAGAATCGTTGAAGAGTTTCAGTTCCAAGACATCTGGTAGGCACCGGATTGGAGAAGGTTAGCCACTGATATACTGATGCAGAGGAGAATTCGAAGAAAGAAATAATAAATTTCTAAATCAAACCCAGAGACTACCGCTGCCCCAATAAAGGAAGCCCAACCTATCAGCACCAAAACTCATTGTGTTTACCAATTTGTTTGTAATTGCGGAGACAATTACATCGGCAGAACTGATAGGTGCTTGGCTTTCAAAATAAAGGAGCATCTTCTGAAATGGGTCCAAACAGCCTTGAGTAATCCAACAACAGCAGCAAATCATGGCCATAAAATGCCTTCTTTGGCCATTGCAAGACACTTACTAGCTACAGGTCACCAGGTGGATCAAAATTCTGCGCTTAAAATTGTACTGTGACACAGGAACTCTCGTTCCCTGCGTTTTGCTGAGGCAGTTGCCATTAACTGTTTGAAGCTCCACTTGTGCGTGCAGAAATGGCTTTATGTCAATCTACACCTCCCGTGGGCGTAAGTCTTGCCATTGGTTACTTTCCTGCATATGTTATAGGCTTAATTAATGCTCTTGTTAGATCTTATATTTGAGGCTGATTTTAACTGTGTTATTGTAATGTAGGTCCTGATGAGTCAATATGAAATGCTTGCATCTACCTCTGTTTGTCTTTTCACACATACATATATAAAGGTCATATGGCATACTCAAGAAAAGATAAGTCTAAAACCATTTTTCCTGTCACTGAAATGTATGGCTGGAAGAATTTTCCATCTTCCATCTTTCCATGAATGCAAAGATGGATTTCTGGCAGAACTTGCTTTCACTATGGCTGGAAAATCATCTTGCCAAAACCATCTCGTCAAAATGAAGTCCAGAGTAGCTTCTGACCCAGCACCATCTTTGGGATCAGAAATCCAATAGCACACACATTCAAAATTGAATCACTGTCGTGATTCGAATCACACTATATGAATCCAAAATAAATGTGTAATGAAAAATTAGAGTGACTGTCTCAACTCCCACACCATAAATTTTAGCAATTATGCAAAACTAAGTAAGCTTATCATTCCTATTAAACATAAAGTTTTGGTTTATTTATTTTCAGTGAAAAAATTATAAATGTGCAAGATTGTATCATTATTTGATATATAGATTAAAAATGATTTTTAAAATCATTTTTGCCCAACCCCAATGTGCATTAATTTGTTAGTTTTATTTAAGTGGAAGTCACAAAGGTTCATTTCTTATGTTTGGAGATTATAGTACCACCAATTCTGAGAACTCCTGGTTTAGTTACTGAGTAATCTTATTGCTTTCCATACATTTCCTCTCATCAACACTGGGAAAGCATGAAAAATGGTTTTCATTTTATGTTTTCTTTCTTATGCCATTTTCTACATGTAAAGATGTTTATATGCAGGCATGGAAAAAGGAAAAAATATCATTATTCTATCTGTTAAATTCACCTCTGCAGTATATGCTGTTGGTGATAATTCAGCCTTTGTCCATTGGGACTTTTCCAGCTGTGCTGAAACCAAAGTTGTTGGACTTTCAACCAATACAATACTGTCGATACTCTAATTTCAATATATCTAGATGACATTTAACACTGAACAGTTTCTTGTTTATTCAGTTGCTAACTCTTTTATAACACATATTTAAGAAACCCAGAAAAATTAATATCCTTTGACCAATTTATTCCATCTTTCATGAGTGCTTTCCTATTTGTTTGTTTGTTTATTTTCCATATTTACTTTCTTATTGGCCTGGAAAATTTATAAATTGCCAGGGGGGAAAAATCCTACTTTGTTGAAGATGCCATTAATTTCCTGGTCAATTATCAGAATATGACTCCTTACTTTGGCCAAAATACTTTTTTGAAAAGTGTTCCTTGTAAACATGTCTGAATACATGAAATATTCACACAACTGCTTTCTAACACAAGAGGACAGGGAGAGGAATTGGTGGACTATTGATGCTGACGTGTCGTCCCCCCCCCATGATCAATCACCCACTCCCTCACTTTAATGTAGGACCATCCTTGATAGGGAAAGTTGTCAAAAGAGTCCTTCAGAAAGAAAAACAATAGAGATACAATGCACAGGATCTAGGAACTTAGACTGACTCCGTTTTCAATCTGGAACAATTCAAAGTAAATCTTATTAATGAAATTCCCTATTAGCAAGCTCATGTATCCACCTTATCTTCCTTTCTCACTAGAATCAAGCCCATATCTGCCTATAAAGACCGCTTACCATTCTTTTTCAGGTCATTGTGATCATTCTCCAGCTTTTTAAGGCTGTTATTTAGTACTGATTCTGCAAAAAGAAAAGACACAGTAAATTGCAATTGCTACTTTGGGAGAAAAGGCATTTTTAAGACCTCTGTATTTCCCTACGCAGGAAGAAATAGGAGGTGCTATGGGATTAGGTTATAGTGATTCGATTTAAAATTAAATGTCGAGACCACGGTGGAAACACACTCCTGTAATAAGCAACACAATTGTAAATTCTGCTTAAAATTCCCCAGAACAACAATGCAGATGTTTCTCTATGTCCCAAGTTTAAAAATATGAATGGCTTTTTTTCCTCCCTCCTAGCAATCCTTGAAGAGTACTAGTCTCAGACCTGCTCCAATAAGCCAATTTCCTACTCTCAAGAAAAGAAACACCCCTCCTCCCCCACCCTAAGGGGGCAGGAACTCCCATTGACAAATTGCTTTATTAATTCATTCAATTGGACCATTAATCATTTTCTCCTAATAGCAGATAATCAGCCAAGCATCCAATAGGATAAAGGAGACAAAAAAAAAAAAGGGTTAAGATAGTGGTTATATGTCTTTGATTGTATGGTCACAGCACCATCTTGAATTGTTGATCCTCTCCCCCAGACACTTAACAAAATATGGTCACCCAGCAGCCAAAACAACATGTTGTGATAGTTGGGAGAACAAAAATAAACAACTCAAGAATGCTTGGCACAAGGAAGGAAAGAAGCAATGCGAAACATCAGTTGGGATATCAGACACAAGATGAAGCTAATGCATACCTTGAGCAGTATGGGTGGACTGGAACTGCTGCAACTGCTTGTCTGATTTGAGACCTAGAAAGACAGAATATTAGCCTGAGGGATGTAGTTCAAAGTCTAATGTTTTGCCAGCCAAATAATGTACAATATATGGATTGACTGGAAATTATAAGACAGCTATCCCATTTTAAACTTCTACATGGTCAGGTTTAGCTTCAGCAGCTTCAGGAATTTATAGACCCAACCTCACTCGAAAATTTTCCCAAAAGACCCAGACCTTTTTCTATAAAGATATTAAGTCCTTTGTAATAAGAGTAGTAATGATTTATCAAAACAAGAAACTGAATGCTTATGGGAGATTTTTTTTCTCAGTAAAGGCAATCGTATCTGGAGAGATCCTGGTTCAGGCCTAACAAATTTATGATAGTAGAATAGGATGGATATATAGAAAAGCTAGCCTATTCTAGAAATCTCAACATAAATTTACCGTTAGCTTGTTTAAGTAGTATGTGTATACACCTCAATGAATTCAGAATTGGAAATGTCCACTTTCCAGACTCATCAAAATGATGATCATTTGTCTTTGATCAATATATCTTACCAAGAAATAGGAAAATATATGAATGCTTTGTGAAATGCTGCATTTCAGTTGTATTCTAGTTACTATTATCACTATGAAACTTGGTTGGCTACCTTAAGATAGCCTTTGATAAGCCGAATACCATCCAGACCGCAATTTCTAGAATATGGGCTAGGGAATTCTCATTGTTGAAATCCATACATCTTGAAGGCTCTCCGGCTACAGAAGACTACACTGCCTACAGCAAAGCAGATTGTATTATATTTTTTCATTGTTTTTCTAGAACTCGGTGATGAAATATAGGAAAAGACTGTTTATTTGCATCTTTCCCCTGTCATGTAAGTCTACTTTTGCAGTTACTTACAAAACATTTCTGCACACGTGAATGTGGCTGGTTAGCTATTTCAATTATTGTTCTTTTAAAAACTTATTTTTGTAATTGAGATAGAAATTACAATATATATAACTGTTTGGAACAACAATATGGAATTATTACCATTTTCAGTCAGCAAAGATTGATTCAAACGCAGTTCTTCTAGTTCCTTGGAAATCTTAGAATCTGAAGGAATAGGGAGACTGAATTCAGACATTGCATCACACCATGGTTTCCTGGATGAACCATAACTGTCCAGATTAGTACAACAATTATACGCTAAACCACAAATCATCCTTTACAATTTACAGTAGCTGGATATGCACTACTTAGTGAGCCAAACCAATTACATTGCAATTTATGTGAAATGTTTAACCTGGCCAAGACTAGGCAATTTGAAATGAATTAGTTTGATTTTCACTGAGAGAGATAGACAGCCTCATTAGCATGGACAGCAGTAGGTTGTGGCTTCCTGGGAAAGTTAAGGAGGAATGATCTCCAGCCTATAACAGAAAATAATATAAGTTTCTGACATGTTTCAAATGGTTGACCTCTGAAGGGATAAATCTGTACTGCTTATTATCAGTCCACTGTCTTATATAAAGATTGTTATAATAAAAAGGCATAATTATTGACCAAATTTCTCCAGTTCAAGTACTGGTATTTCTTAGTCTGTATTTCAGATTTTCATTGTCTTGCTAGCATGGAGGTGGTAATTCCTTCTACAATTAGGAGGAACAAGAGGTAAAGATGAAGGGGTGACAAACAAAAGAGAATCTGAGCAACACTTAAAAAGAATCTGAAGTGCCAATGAATAAGATGCATCTATGGAGGAAGACACAAGGCTCACTAAGAAAAGGACAATGTTTTCATTTAATATAACTTTTATTCAACTTTACTAATTAAAAAAAGTAGCCGATAGTATCTCTAACTAAGAGCTAGCTATGGAGTGAAGTCAGTAGTGGGTTTCAATTTAGTTTGCTACTGGTTCAATTGTGCATGTGTGCATGCTTGCATGTGTGCACTTGCATGTGCGCAACACTTCTGCACATGCGCAGAAGCATCTGGGCGGGTAGACGGAGCTTCCCCCCACCGCCGCTACCAGTTTGCCCAATCCAGGGTGAACCGGTAGCAACCCACCACTGAGTGAAGTGTTTTACAATCTTTAGAGAAAAATGTGAGAAGGGATGATGATTGGCCACCAGGTATGAAGTTCTAAATAAAGGCTTTCATGTGAAGTGTTCAACTTGGGAATCACATGACAGGAAAAGAATGTCCATAACCAAGAGGCTGTATTGGGACCTGAGCAAAACCCCCACATTATTTCCTACAGTATTTTTTTTTCCCAATCAGAACATTGAGCTCAGTAATCACAAAAAGCAAATATTCATCCTCCTATTCCCAAACTTCATGAAACACAAAATAAATTGCATTAGAAGCGAGGTATTTTGTTGGGCTCCATCCAACCAATTCCAGCTAGCATGGCCAATAACCAGAGATGATGGCAATTACTGATAGTATCTGTGCAAATATTTCAGTGACAAAATAGCTTCATCTTGTATAAAACTGAGTAATAGTTTTAGTCAATATATTTAGTGAGTTGACTCTCTAAAAATAAATTATTTTCAAATGCACATATAATTGAAAACATAACTGGGATACTTTGTTTCTGATCTAGAATTTTTTTTAATAAAGGCATCTCTCACCTCCCAAAATTCCCCAAGCTGGAGGGGAATTGTGGAAAATGCAGACTTAACAAATCTGAAGGGAAATACTATGAGGTTGATCTTCCTTACTTATTTGTAAGGCACCAGATTATACCCTATTCTCTTTCTTTCTCTTCACATCCAAGATCTGCTATTTTAGAATGGAGATAGATGAACCAGCTTTTGACTCAGAAGACATACATTTTGATGCCATTACAGCAACAATGATGATCCACAGCAAAAATGATACAATGGTCACAAGAGAAATGATTGGCAGGGATACTCCTGAACCACCTCGGCAGCTTTGTGGCAGGAAATTACCTGTGGACAAAAAGCATGTTTTGTGAAACCTACAGTGGTAAAACTAGGATAAGAATTTAATTATTAATACTATAGAACAGGGGTGTCAAACTCGTGTTGTCACTGCATCATCATGTGATGTATCACGACTTTCTCCCTTCACTAAACCGGGTGTGGGCGTGGCCAGTGCGTGATACAACCAGCCCATGGGAGCAGCATTTGACAGCGGTATAGAAGAGAAACTCCACAAAGTTTCACACACACTAGCTAAAATCCCATTCATTCTAGAATAATATTTATATTTGCTTTTCTCTATAGAAGCAAAACATGGTTTTATATAGCTGGTTTCCTACATGATATAAACTTTTATAATCATTAGGCTCTTTCTTCATCATGTATTTGAAATGGACTATGGCAGAGATGAGAATGTGCACAGGGAAAAACTGCCTTTGAAATGAAACACAATACATCAGAGTAAATGTTCTTAAACAACTGCACAATAAGAAAATTACTATTTCTCCACAGCTTACTACAGCATTAGTGACTCATCTATTTGAATGGACCAAATGGCTAACACTGTATTTCCTGGTAATCCTCTAAGGCAAAAAGTCAATATAATAATGTCCACTGTTGTCCCAGACAAGTTCTTTTGATGCTTGCACTCTCTCTCTCTCTCGCGACCAGAGGTGTCAAACTCAATTTCATTGAGGGCCACATCAGGGTTGTATATGACTTCAGGGGGCTGGGATAGGCATGGCCAGCTCAATGTCACTCGTGTCGGGGTCGCCTATGGCAGCCTGAGCACTCTGCCAGTGAAAACCGGCTCCTGAGCTCTGTTTTCAGCTGCAACGGCCTCATACAACCCTCTGCCAGTGGAAACCGAGCTTGGGAGGGCTGCATGGCTCTGTTTTCGCCTGTGACAGCCTCCTGCAACCCTCTGTCAGCAAAAATAGAACTGGGGGGAGGCCGCACGCAGCCCACCTGATCTCCATTTTCACTGGCAGAGCCACCGCAGGCCCATCCTTCACTGTTTCCAGGTCGGCCCCGCAGGCCAGACCTAAGCACCCCACGGGCTGGATCCGGCTCCTGGGCCTTGAGTTTGACATCCCTGCTCTAGACAGACAGTCCATTCTTTGTGTTTTCAAATAGAATAATTTATTCTATCAATAACTGCTATGATAATATTGATGGGAGTATGACTGTTGATAAGAGTGATGACAGCCCTCTCATTGTTATAAATATTTCTAGCCTGTTCATCCACAAATTTCATTTCCCAGGCTTCTGTGCAGAAGGAGAGAGAGAGATTCTAAACAGAATCAGAAATAATTTACTCCATCAATAACTGCTATGGTAAGTTGCTTTATTTCAAAATACTGTATGGTATTGAATGGGAAGTCAGCTACAGTATGATTTTTTCAAAATCTTTATCTGCAGTGAACAACAGTATTTTGCATTCTGTATTTATTTCAGCTCATGTCATTTAGGTACATTCAATTGCCCTCTGAATGTCTATGGAGATTCTCCATCACCAAGATTATGGTTGTCCCAAAGGTGCTTTTTCTAAAAGGCAACTGGACTTTCTTGGTTTATTTTTTTCTTTAAAAATGTTTCACTTCTCATCCAAGAAGTTTGGATGTTCCAAGCAAAATGTTTTCAAAGAAAAAAAACAAGAAAGTCCAGTTGCCTTTTGGAAAAAGCATCTTTAGGTGACCCTCTGAATCTTAGAGATCATTTCTGTGTTACAAAGGAGTATTGCCATGCTTTCTGTCTTGTGCTCATAGTCTCTCTTTCTTCACAGAACCCTGAGAAATGAAATTCGGAGGCAAGCAGGCTAGGAGTGTTTATGTTATAACAATAATCTGTCAGCTCCCATCACCTGACACACTCTCACCAATATTACTTAAAGTATTGATTACAAGAAGTTATGAATGTCTGCTAAGAAAGTGCTAGTTTTCCCTTGAATCTTTTAAAAGCAACATCATTTGTATTGCATACCTCTGGACGTTAAATTTTGAATATATTTTTAGCTACAGCTGTTATAGAATAGAATAGAATAACAGAGTTGGAAGGAACCTTGGAGGTCTTCTAGTCCAACCCCCTGCTTAGGCAGGAAACCCTACACCACTTCAGACAAATGGTTATCCAACATCTTCTTAAAAATTTCCAGTGTTGGAGCATTCCACAACTTCTGGAGGCGATTTGTTCCACTGATTAATAGTTAGAAATGCCTGAAGTATTTTTAAAAAATCAGCCTATGTACCAAACCATTATCTGTGAGGTAAAATAGGCAAGGAAAAGATTAATTCTTTGATCTCTCAAGTACCATATTAGGCTCTTTTCTTCATCTGATCTATGTAACTTTAGAGGGAAATGATGATATCTACTTTCAGCTGAGTAACACAGAGAAGATTTCTGACCTGCTTCTCAGTAAGAAAGCAGTAAGATAATATCTAGGATGCCATTTTTTTTACCTCATCAGTTCCTAGAATGCTTTGGGGGAAACCTGTTATAGCTAAACTGTTTTAAACTTGATGAGAAGTCTTAAAGTACATGAAGTAGATCCGGTCATCTTAGTTCCAGAACACATGTGAATGCCTTATGTTCTTATGAATCTTGCTGATCCAGCAAAAGAGATTATGACCAATTGATCACAGGCTGATGAAAGCAGGAAGCAGCTATCTTTGGTGTGACCCAGAGAAAGGGAACAAACTGATTGTCTTCTGAAACATTGCACAACAAGGATCATACTGTTTCAGGCTCAAGATGCTTTCTGTTGTGAAACAGAAGTGCATAGAAAGCTGCCTTAGGATGTGGCCAGACTATTTGAACTGAGATTACTTTGATCCACCTTACCAGTGCAGAGTTCAGAAGTAGCACATTAAAAAAGGAAAAAGGCTCATTAGCTCATTCTTTGGCCAGTTAACTTCTGTGGATATGATAATTGATATTCTCTAAGGAAACTCAGCTACATGTTTCCTACAGAATACTGACCTAGTTAGTAAACAAACTATGGCTGTTTAACCATGGTTAATTGAAGGAAATACAACCATGTGGGTTTGCATGTGATGAGGTTCACATTATTTATACCTAGTTTATAAAGATAAACTTAGAAACCTTATTTTATAGAATTGCTGAACTATAAGAGTCACTTGGGGTCATCAACTCAATCCCTCTTCTCAGTACAAGAATAGAAATTAAACCATCCCAGAGAGATGGTTGCCTAACTTATGCTTGGCAACATCTAATGATGTTAGATTTGGTTTGATTGCTATCTCCTTGCTGTTAGAAATGCAGATCAAAAATTGGAACATAAATTTAAAGAGATTGGCTTTGTCTTCAGGTTCAGGTTAGGATTATAGGCCTTTCATCAGGTCAGATCATTGACCCATCTACCTCAGTGTTAGCTAGAGTTGACTGACTGTTGATTCTCTCAGGGCTCAAGACAGAGGATCCTCCCCGCATATCTTAGAACAGGGATCCCCAACCCCAACCCCTGATCAATGGACCGGCATCGGGCCACAGCATGCCAGAAACCAGGCTGCACAAACAAGTGAAGCCCCATCCGCGGGATGCAGGCAGCATGCAAAACCATGCCCCTTCTGGTCCACAGAAAAACATTTCGCCACAGAACTTTTTTTCTTTTTTAATTTGATTTATATGCCGTCCTCTCGGGAGACTCAGGGCGGTTTACAATGCGTTAAGCAATAGCCTTCATACTTTTGTATATTTTTATACAAAGTCAGCTTATTGCCCCCACAAACTGGGTCCTCAATTTACCCACTTTAGAAAGGATGGAAGGCTGAGTCGACCTTGAGCCTGGTGAGAATTGAACTCGCAGTAATTGCAGGCAACTGGATGTTAAATGCTGCCTTAGGAGGCATTAGCCTCCTACGCCACTCAGGCTCCTACGCCACTTGTCCCTGGTTTCCAAAAGATTGGGGGCCACTGCCTTAGAAGACCATTAAATAAAGAGTTTTCTGGTATGCAAAAACCTTGTGATCCTCCACTGAGTTACAGCAGCTTATATGATGGACTATCCCTCCGTATCAGCAAAGAACAGTTACTCTCAGTAAGCATGTACCTCAAGCAGCTAGAATTCTTCCCTCATCCCTTTAATTTGCTAGATGAATGGAATGTTTAAATGTTTGGAAATAAGTGAAAATGGAAAGAGTATTCTCGTTCTTCTCAGATACCCATTCATTTCCCATAAAATGTGCCTTTGCAATTTTTTTCCAGTTTATAGTCCAATTTCGCACAAATCCAATCATTAGCAAGTCCCATCATGGTGAGTGAGGCTTATTGTCAGACACCATAAGTATAAGAATTCATATTATTGAAGAAGTTGTGGTCTTCTACCAAACTGGCAATCATTTTCATGAATAAGTTCTTAAACAGCTGGCAGGAGTTTGTGCTGCGGTTCTAAGCTCCTCTCCATTTTGGCTCTGAAAACAGCTGTTTTTCCGGAAACCCTCCCCCCAGGGGCACAAGTCAAAATTTCTGAATCCAGATAAAGGTGGCACTTACCTGCTGTTTCAAATATCTTGCTTGGCTGCTTCCCCTGTTCCTCGGGTTCCTCGCATCTCTTATAGATACCCTGTGGTGATGACATTTTTCTCAGTCTTTGGAAGCTGTGGGACTTTCGGCTATTTATTATAGTCTAAAGTTCTCCCAAACTTTTTCTGAGGAAAGGAAATGAGCATGAGCAGTCACTCTTCCTCTTTTCAGCTCAGAACTTCCACGAAGTTCATAAAACCTTCCTCTGAAAATCTGTATATCATCCTAATATACTGGTTAACACGGCCTCCTAAGGGCTACGTTGGAATATGATGTCTAGTACTGCTTCCGTACTAAAGTGTCTACTTTGTGCATGTCAGAATGAGTTCACAGATCTGGGCATCTTTCAAATCAACTGCCAATATTGATTGGAAAACCCAGTGCTATGCAGTATCAGACTTTTCCTGGAATCACGGACTCCTCCACATAGCAGCATTAAAATGCTTTTCTGCTGCACAGGAGCCAGGTAGAAAATATGCCAACATAAAAATATGCCTGGATTTCTGCCTTGGCAATGAAGCAGAATATGGATTCTGTTCACAGGAGACATGAGGAGCAGGAAAAGCCTCTTTTAGTGATAGGCACCAGTAGCAGAAGGTCTGTGGAACTTCTTTTGTTTTCCAGTCACATGGAGTGGAGTTTCCATTCTTTGGAATTAATACAGATGATCAGAGTTGGAAGGGACCTTGTAGGTCATCTAGTCCAACCCGCCTGCCCAAGCAGGAGACCCTACGCCATTTCTGACAAATGGCAGTCCGCTCTCTTCTTGAAAGCTTCCCGTGATGAAGCTCCCACAAGAAGATAAATGCCCTTGCCAGGATTTATCAATGCTTCTGTTTGATCCGGCCACTGACCAAAATAAGAATGATCCATCTATACTATAGAGAAGGGGAGAAGAGGATGAGAACAACAAACAGCAAAATAATATACTGGGAAGGGACCTTGGACGTCATCTAGTCCAACCCCTCTAAATGAGAAGACTGATACCAAAGGAGCTGTTCTCCCCTGCTTCATCTCCACATACTTCTTGGGGCAGAGAAGTACAGATAGTCCTTGTTTAGCGACCACAATTGGGGCTGGCAACTCTGTCACTAAGTGAAGCATTCACTAACAGGGAAATCAGATGACTGTGATTGTGATTTTTTTTTCCCTATTCCCCTGCTCTTTGGAATGCTCACTGCAATGATGCTGGGATAATTGGCCAGAAGAGATTTAATGTTTATATCTATATTCATTGGACAGGAAGAGATTGCAAGAGAGTAAGCAGGCACACATTGGGGAACATTGTGGAGTGTGCTAGTGGTTGCCAATGTCGGCACATTGCTTTCAGTGTGTGTACCCCATTGTGTGCCTGCTTGCTCTCTTGTAATCCTTTCCTCTCCAATCTCTCTGCTCTGGGGGGGGGTCGACGCAGAAAAACAATCGTCAGGAACAGGACACCATGTACTGACAGTGATCATGTGACTGAGGGACAGCACTGTTGTAACTTCAAACAGTTGCTGAACAAAACAGTAAGCAAGGACTACCTGTAGAGAAGAACAGCTCCTTCAGTGACACATCTCCTGGCATCAAGAATAATAAATCTCCATCCATTCTTTACTAGAAAGAAATGGTGGCTGACCACTCAATTCCTGCCATTCCTATATAGTAAAGCATAGAAGGAAGTGAATCTTCTTGGTGCTAAGAGGACTGCAAGCCACTTCCCCAATTCTCCCTCCCAGTCCCTGCTTCTCTTGCTTGCACCCAAAGAAAATGACAGACCAAATTTGAGAAGTAGAGCAGACAAATAGAAGCTGTCTCTGTGTTGACATTGATAAGTTTAAAGCAGTATTGTCTATTTATATCCTCTACATATGATAGTTGGAACGTCTCCATTCGATAGTTAGCAAGCAATGCAGAAGAGCTCCGACACACAGTCATGCCATGTCCCTGAGAGAATTTCAGAAATCATGTTGTAGAGATTGGAAGCAGAATCATACCTGTCTCCTGGAGTGATTTGGCTACACATGACTTACTGTTTGTTGAATAGGAAAGATTCGCTCACTGTACAAACAGCAGAGACCCAAATAAGCATACATTTGTGGTCTATGCACATACTATATTCTATGCTTACAGGGCATAATTCAACTTTTCATGTATGTGGAGAAAAGCAGTGGGAAAGCCTCTTCCCAAGGCTTACCTAATATGTGCTTTGAATGCAAGGAGGATAACCTGTCAAAGTAGCTAGTTCTGCTGAAGAAGTTCCTTGGCCTTCTTTTGCCTCACCAGAGAAATAAGCTGGACAATAATTGGAGAAAGCCATGTTGTGCTGCAGGCTGGAGGAGCAGATGGATGGACAGATAGACCAATCTATTTCTTTTATAGGCTTACAATCAGAGACAAAAGAGATTAATAATTCTAACGAATATCGGCAACAGAAAGTGTCATTCCTTCCATGCCATCAAGATCTTCCAACATGTGAGTCATGGCTGTTGGGGGAGAATTTCAGAAGAAAGAGGTTGTGAAACTAATGAGACTAAGTTCATTTTTGGTTGAATTCATCCCTCTGACATTTCTCGAGAAACAGCATTCCTTATAATTATGTAACTACTAATGGAACACTTCTCCCTCTTTGCTTTCTACTTCTTGACTGGACTACATGAGTCATAATAACTCAAAGAAAATGGTTTGATAAACTTCATACAGCTCTGACCTAATTTTTCTATAAAAAGGGGGTGCTTAAGTCTTTCCCATCTTCTTGATATCTATCATAAATTATCCTTCTTGCCAACATTTTTTCATCCTAGAACTTTCCTGATGTGTGCAGTATGTAAGACTTTACAAGGAGAAATGAGCTGAATGGAATAGATGAGCTAGGGAGCTGAAACGTCATATAGTAGCATCTTTTCCCTTTCTTTTCTCATTCTAATGCCCTGATTTTTTGGAGATCCTTCTCATCTGAAGTGAGATGTGTGCATCTGAGGAGAAGGCCTCTGAATCCTGTCAGTAATCTCGGAAAATACTCTTAATAAGGTAGGCAGAAGTGAATTTCTATCTAGGAATCACTGATAGGAAATTCTGGGCATTACATATAATACTTTTGTTAAAGCCCACTTGTTAACTTTTCAGCCTGTTTTTTTGGTCTTGCTTAAAATAACATTGATATTGGCAATTCACCTTCATTCTTACAAACTAATCTGACTTCATTTCTTCCACTCCTACCTCATACAGCAACAAACAACCATTCTTAGATCTATTGGGGAAAATGCCTCATTGCAAAACTACCAACATATTAGTGATGGTATATTATTTGTTGTTCACAACAATGGGTATTTCTAGCACTTGATTATCCAATCATGTGGCAAGGACTTGAATCCTTTCTTGTGATTAAAGCAAGTTACCTTCAAGTTGATCTTGCCTTGAAGTTTTTTACAACCAACTTGCCAGTTAGGAGCTGATGTTTTGTTCTTTTGGTGTTTGGGCAGTTTCCTTTCTGCTCAGGTGGAAACAGCTTATTTTTAACTCGATGCTGTTGGATTACATCAGCTACCACACCAGTTATAAGTTTGAAAGTTCTTGATAAGCAGGTAATTGGCTTGTAATTACCTGGTGCTTCCTCTTTTGTTGGATCTTTCATTATCAGGTAGGTTTTGCCAGATGTTAACCAATCTTCAATTTTACCTCTTTACACTAAGTTGTTAAACTGCTTGGCAACAAATGGGTGTAGACCAGTCAGATGTTTCAACTAAAAACTGAGCAGTTCATTTTCACCTGGTGCTGACCAATTATTGATCTTTCTTGTCTTTTTCTCTACCATTTCAGCTTCTGTTTTGTTCTTACCTACCTCCTTTACAGGGGTGGGTTCTACTTACCTTTACTACCGCTTCGCAATGGGATTGCACATGTGCGCTCGCTTCGCTCGCATGTGTGCCTTGCTTCTGCGCATGCGCAGATCGCTTCTCATGACATCAGGGTCAGTGGGCGGAGCCTCACGCTGGTTTTACTACTGGTTCTATAGAACCGGTCTGAACCAGGGGCAACCCACCACTGCTCCTTTAGCCAGGCTCTATTCTTCTTATTGAATTTATTTGGGTTGTCCCAGAACTACACTATTTACTCTTTATCAGGTGTTGACTGGTTCAAAGCAATCTTTCCACTGATGGATTGGAAGCTTCAAATGGAGATTATTCTTTTTTTAACTAGAGCTTTTATGCGTCTCCCTCAGCCTAGCCCATGCACATTTGTTTTATTTAGAATTCAGCAGTACTTAAGAGGATGGCATCACCAAATTATTAAATAAATTATTAGCATGAATCTCTTCCCTGCAAAATCTGCCTTTTCTGTGTCTTCCAGAACTTTCAATTCTACATCACTAGCAATCACTCCCCATAAGCTTTAAAAAAATGGCCTGGATTTGAAGCAGCAGTCCTGATTTATTGGGTCACTTCTGTGGGATAAGTGGTTTCTGGGGTCCTGTGGACTCCTTTTCCACCTCTGAGGATAGCCTTCTGAAAGAGCTGCAGCCACAACTGATTGTAGCCTCAACAACAGCTGTTGTCCCAGTATTACCACACACCTGTCTACAAAAAGGAAGCAAAAGAAAAGGAGATCTGATGACTTCCTGGAGAAATGAAACCCAGAGAACTTGAGAGCTCTATTTTAATCCATTCAGAATTTCTCTCCTTCTCAAGTCTATAACCAGAAGCCATGTATGACAACACAATAAGCAAGGAAGCAGATCTTCCATGCAAGGTTTGGCGTCCTCTTCCTGCTGAGCCTGCAGAGCAGAGTGGGCTCAGCAATGAAGGTAATTGAGTGAAAACCTGGCCGAGGAGGAGGGAGGATGTGATGTGGCATACTTCATAATGTATATAATGGGCTTCACTGGCTGTAATGTTGGTTTGTAGACTGCTATCTATATGGAAAATGTATCTAAAGCAGGATGGAAAGATACGAACATGGGATCTGATTTGATCATCAGATCCAGGAGGGAAATGAAAGGCTGAATGGAAATCTGGGATGAGACCACAAGCTACTTTGAATGGTCAGACAGAGAAAAGGACAAGATTCCTGTACTTGTAAAAGTTATGTAAAGAAAAAATTGCTCTAGAACCGCAAGCTATTCTTGTTCAAGTTTCTTCATATTTATTGCTTATTAAGAATGTAGAGCCTTATCCTCCAATGTATCTTTTCTACAAATATCTCCATTGAAGATTCACTAATGGTTTTTTATAACGGGACCATTCCCTGTGCTGAGTTGTGGTCTACCAACCCATCCTTGAGTTGGCAGGAAAACTATATTGACAAAAATGTGCTGCCTTTATTGTCTGTATTGCATATACTGTATTTTGATTCAGTGCCAAATAGTGCTTTCCTCATCGTGCACCTATAGCATAAAACAGGAGGCATTACTTAAAACAGTTGATTCCTTTGCATTGGCTTCCCTTCTAACATCTCAGTTGGTAGCAAAATATTGATCATGAGAGTGATATGGGAACATTCAAATTCAGCAAATATGAGTTCCTGTGCCTTTTCTCTTGATAGACTAAGTGCTGAGAAGTGAATGAGATCAGACATGCAACCACACAAACCCTCACACAGTGATGCAGAAGCTGACTTGGCTATTTCCAGGAATGAGAAGATGGTAAAACAGTGGAGTGCCATTAATTTTTCTTGTCTGATCAAACTCCCCCCGCCTCAAAAAAAGGAAGATGCTCAGTTTCTAGAGGAAGCCAAATGTATATTGTAAGGATGAGCAAGAACTAAGTCAGAAATTTACTGTGTTACTTGAGCAATACAAAGTTAAAGAATAGCATGCATCTAGAATGTTGTGCACCTTGTGCACAATCCTTGTGCAAAAATTTTCATAATCCTGAGGTTAACTTATTCCATTCACTTTGGAACAGATTATGATAACTGCAGCATAGAAAGTAACTACGACAGTATCTCGCTACCTTGTGAAAGGAAGACACCAGCTAAACCATTGGATCCTGATACAAAAGCTGTTACCGGTATGATATCCGTATTACTAATACTAAATCTGTTTCAATTTCACTCAGAGCCTTTCCTTCTGAGGAGTCTTCAACAGAATCTAGCCTCAGCTTTGGCAATAGAAAGAACTGTCTTCACTCTCTTTGATATTTTGTTTTAGATTGGCACATATTTTGCAGAACAGAAATAGTAGTGTAAGGATGCTTAAATTGTAATTTGGATACCAATATCATGAACTCGGGGAGTAAAATTGGAATTGCCAATGAAGATAAGCTCAGAGTTATTTTTCCCATTCATTGCTTTCCAGTTTTTTATTATTTTACAAATGCAGAAAGTTGGGTGGGAGGGGTGTCAATCTGAAAATATATCAATTTCCATGCACATTCGTCCTTGCAAAGCACATTTTCTAGAGTTTCTAGAAAATGTTATTTCAAGCTATTTCTTCCTATTATATTGTGCATACGTTATGTTCCTTTAAAACATAGGTTTTGTTTGCTGCTTTTAAATGTTCACATTTTGTGTGCACGTTGCATTTGTATTTTGTGAGCTACAATTGCACTTCAACATTCTGAAAAGTAAATTGTGGTATACAAGTTTTCAATTTACAGTATATATACACTGTGTGTTTGAAAAATGCTTAGTGTCATATTCCATTTCTCTAAAATGGAAAGTAAACACTTTATTGCTTGAGATTTGGTGCCCTTTCTGGTGACTATTCACATGGAAGGAAGAAACAATATTTGCAGAGAAAATTGTTTCTGCAAGAGATTTTCTACACCTCTTACAGGAGCAGCCTTTTTCAATTCACGCAATATTTTCAGTTCAAACAATCTTTTTCAATTTACTACAGAATGTTCTAAAAACAGGCAGTCTGTCCAAGAGAAGTATCGTTCTATATCTAGCCTGATGTATTATCCTGCACTTTACCAAATGAAGGATTGTTTTTTCCTTTCAAAATCTGTTAACCTGTTCACACTATTATAACCAGTGGTGGGATTCAATATTCTTAACAACCGGTTCTGTGGGTGTGGCTTAGTTGGGGGTGTGGCTTGGTGATCATGTGACTGGGTGGGCGTGGCTATGTGCATAGGGACTACTCAGAGGGCTGAAAAAAGTCATTTCTGACTGGTCCTTGCACTTATGACCATCCTCACATTTATGCCCATTGCGGCATTCTTAACAACCGTGTCAGTCATTTCACCACTACTTCTCTTCACCATGGTGACAAGATAGGGCATAAAACGTAAAATGTGAGGACAGTCGTAAGTTCAAGGACTGGTCAAAAGTGCGAGGACCGGTCAAAAATAACTTTTTCAGCCTTCTGACTAGTCCGTATGCACATAGGGACTGTTCACAGGGCTGAAAAAAGTCATTTCTGACTGGTCCTCACATTTTTGACCGGTCCTCGCACTTATGACCTTCCTCACATTTATGCCCGTTGCGGCATTCTTAACAACTGTGTCAGTCATTTCACCACTACTTGTCTTCACCACAGTGACAAGATAGGGCACAAAACATAAAATGTGAGTACAGTCGTAAGTGCGAGGACTGGTCAAAAGTGCGAGGACCGGTCAAAAATAACTTTTTCAGCCCTCTGAGTAATCCATATGCACAAAAGGATACAGCAATAGAGAGGGATGAAGGAAGGAGAAGAGAGATGGAAGAAAGAAGGAGAGAGAGGGAAGGAAGAGAAGGGAGGAAGGGAAGGGAAATTAGAGTAAGAGTGAGGGTAAGAGACGGAGGAAGAGAGGAGGAGAAGAAGGGGGGGAAAAGAAAGTAAGAAGGAAAGAAAAGAGAGAGGTGGTAGGTTTGAGGAGAAAGATTACTGTACAGTAAAAAAGATGAAATGGAAGAAAGATATTAAGATAAAGAATGAATTGTTAAACTTTAAAGAATAAAAGAGAATAAATATGAATAAATAGCAGTAATTAGAAACACACATACAAACATACAATGTATTTTCTTTGAATAGAGTATTTGGCCAGTTCACAAATTTAAAAAGTGTTTAGTCATTTCAATTAAATTTACAATTTCTATATTTCCTTTTTGCCATATTTATTCCTTATCTATTTAAAAAAAAAACAATATTACCCTTCATCCTCATCTCTAATCTTAATCAAATTCAATTTTCCCCTTCTATTCTATATTATACCCCTTCTCATTGTCATCTATTTTTATATCCATCCTCACATTGGTTAATTATGTAATATTACAGTTGTTTAATATAAATTCAACATTTTAATATAAATCAATTAGTTATATAACTATCTTTTTTGTATATTAATCAATATGAACATGAATATTCCAATTATTTCCAAGCAATCCAATTTCTTACAAATCAATTAATTATATTTACCAATAATAATAAACCAAATAATTTCCCCCATATATTCCTCCAAACCACAATTTAACCATTTCTGCTTTCAACACAATATACAATTAATAGTATCTCAATTATTACAATTCCCTATTTAAATAGAGCTTTTTTTCTTTTGTGTTTTAAAATCTTGAACTCTCCTCTTTTTCCCTAAAGAGGAACTACCTCTTTAGGGAAAACTACCTTTCCACTAAAGGTAGTTTGCACCTACCTTTTTTGGTGAGGAAAAAGAAAAGAAATCTGCCTGCCTAATTTTCCAACATTGCAGCAACAGTAAAGCAGGCTTTTACTTTCAGTTTTGTTTTTCAGCATAGATAGGGGGAAAAAAATCTGCACTCTTTGCAAGCAAGCAGCAGAGCCCTGAGCAAAACAGCTGAGAGCAAATCAGCTGAGAGTCGGGAGGCCGATAGAATCAAGGGGCTAATTAGCCTATTCTGAAGCTCCGCGGGCCAATAAAATTACAAAAAAACACCGAACCGTTTGTTAAATTGCTGGCTCGCCCACCCCTCGCCCACCACTATTTATTGGCAATAAATAGTGGTGCGGAGGGGCGGGGCAAGGGGCGGGGTGAGCCAGCAATTTAACAAAGGGTTCGGCCGAACCCCCTAGAACCGGCAGAATCCCACCACTGATTATAACACTGGAAACCTCAGCCATGCTTTGCAGCCCATGAGGCCAATCTGATTTATACTGAAGTCTTACCAAGGCTGTAGTCTAGTCATACATGGGACTCATCATCTTGTCCACGGAGGTTTCAATTTCCTGCTTTTTCAAACCTAATCTTCCTTCATGCCCAGCTCATTGCTCACAAAGGATTCTCTAATGCAAATTTAGCATGTTATCAGGCCTATGCCAGGGGTCTGCAACCTTAAACACTCAAAGAGCCATTTGGACCCATTTCCCACAGAAAAGAAAACACCAGGAGCCACAAAACCCTTCCCGTGCCTGATTATTTATTTCTTTTTTTTTTATTGAAAAGTTTTACAAAAAAAATGAGAATTTTCTTCCCCCCATGTTCCCCCACCCTTTCCCTCCCCTCATCCCACCCTCCCCCCCCAGACTTCCCAGAGCAAAATACAAGGTATTTCATTTAACAATCATAAACTAGATTAACCTACTTATCCTCAGACTACTAACTCCCCCCCTGAAACCTTAACTCCACTATAGATAACATAATACTTCTAATACTTAACGTTCATTCATAAGCTATTTGATATTTTCTTGTCTGATACTTATTTTGAATATAATCAATCCATCTTCTCCATTCCGATACGTATCTTTCTTGTGTATAGTCCTTCAAGTACGCTGAGATTTTCGCCATTTCTGCTAGGTTCGTTACTTTCAGTATCCACTCTTCAATAGTAGGCAAAGAGTCCTTCTTCCAATATTGCGCTACCAACAGCCTAGCTGCTGATATTAAATTCGAAATCAATTTAGTCTCTGATACTGTACAGTCTGTAGTTATACCCAATAGGAACAATTGAGGAGTAAATTTCAATCTTCTTTTCAGAATATTCTGCATCACCCACCAAATTTTTATCCAAAATTCCTTGATTTTCTTACAGGTCCACCATATATGATAATAGGTTGCATCATTACATTCACATCTCCAATATTTAGCTTGCAAATTGCATACATGATAATTTTTTAGGATCTAAGTGCCATCTATAAAACATTTTATAAAAATTCTCTCTCAAATTTTGTGCTTGCGTAAATTTAACATTTCTGACCCAAATCTTTTCCCACGTTTCCATCATCACTGGTTCCTGAAAGTTTTGTGCCCATTTTATCATACAATCCTTAACCAATTCCGTTTCTGAATCTATTTCCAATAATGCATTATACAACCTTTTAATATACATCTGACTTTGATCTCTAATCTGTTTCACCAGATTTTCCTCATTTTGCATAACACCAAATTTTTGATCTTCCCTCCATCTAGCTTGAAGCTCGTGCCTGATTATTTCTTGAGCGGCCATAAAACTAGCATATGTAGTTGAATTAAATGTTCTGTTTTCTTCTGAAACTTTTCTTTTCTTGGATTTATCCATGGTTGGCCTACCAGAGGTTGAAAAGCTCAAGAAATAGCGTGCCGGCTGGTGTCGCACACTGGCAGTTGTGATGCATATTTTGAATGACAGGGAGCCGCAGCAGAGGGGTGAAAGTGCCACATGCGGCTCCAGAGCCACAGGTTGCTGACCCCTGGCCTATGCCATCATGTCACCATAACAGCAAAGTTTACAGGAGAAGGCCTTCTACCTGCAGGTTTCTTGCTACATCACCAAGAACGTGGAGCTATAGAGCGCCTACTAGCCCTGGGGGCACAATGGTTAGAATGCAGTATTGTAGGCTAATTCAGCTTACTGCCAGGAGTTCGATCTTGACAAGCTCAAGGTTGACTCAGCCTTCCAACTTTCCAAGATCAGTAAAATGAGGGCCCAGATTGCTGGAGGCAATATGGTGGCACTATAAACTGCTTAGAGAGGGCTGTAAAGCACTATGAAGCAGTATATAAAAATCTAAATGCTATTGCTACTTTTGTTTTGTTTTTTTGTTTTGTTTTTGCAATTGAGATTCTTCCCCCCCAACCCTACTCTACAGCAACCTTTCAGAAGTTGAATTTTATTTTTGTTTTTGAGAAGATACTGGATGAAGGTAGATAATGTACACAGCCAGATATGTGGATGGTGGTAGGAACAGAATAAGTCCTTTTCTTTTGTGGAAGGTGAGAAGAATTGTGTTAATTCATAAACCACACAAGCGGGGGATGGAACCAGTGGGATGAGAACAAAGAATATTTAACTGCTGACTACCTTCAAGGCAGAATGACTGTCTGATGTTCTCTACTTGCTTCAGATTTTTAAAAAATGTATACATGCTGGGATAATAGTGCTATGGATTTCAACATAAGACAGAAATATTTGGGCTGTTAGTGTGGAAAGCCTGTGAGAAAGTATTCCCCTATCAAAAGGCATGGCAAAGCTATTGCACCCTCTTTTCTGGATCATACATGATGCCTGAATAAATGCAAGTATATGCTTCTAAACAATTGTGAATGAAGCAGGGTGACCACACAATCAAACCCTTGTCTGGGTTTAATTCTCACTTGTTTTTTGAGTTTTAATCCAGGCTGTATCAGTTGTGGCTCTCTTTCCCTGCAGGTCCATCCATCTTTTTTCCAATCCAATGGAAAAAGTACTGGAAAAGAAACCGAATTGGTGTTCTCTTGAGCCTCACTGGTGTCTGTCTCCTCCTTAGTCTCCTCCTCCTCCTCTCAAGTGAGTGATTACCAAAAACTAGTGAAGCAACCACCCTGGACATGGCAGTTCCATAAGATGAAAGCAATGGGGGAGGGCAATGACATTCAGTGGAAAAGAAACATCAGTTGTGCTTAAACATATAAGAGATTCAGGGGTGCTATTCAGCAGGTTCTGGCAGGTTGTGGAGAACTGGTAGCAGAAACTTTGAGTAGTTTAGAGAACCAGCAAATATCACCTCTGGCTGGTCCCATAGTGGAGTGGGAATAAAGATTTTGCAGTATCCTTCTCCTGCCATGTCCACAAAGCCACACCCACAGAACCGGCAGTAAAAAAAATTGAATTCAACCACTGAAGGGATGGTGTCAGCAAGCTGGGGAGGAGTGAGTATTAATGTATGGACCCAGTACCTATAGCTGTCTGTCTCAGATTGCTCTTTTGCCAACTCGTTTTGATCTATAACCCATTTCCAGCATAATTCCTGCCTTTCAACACTAAATGGGAAATATTTCGTAACCAATTCCATCAGCACAGTCTTAGTTAACACAGTGGAATCCGAGTGCCGAGACATGAGTTGGGAAAAATAGCCATCATGCAAAAGCACCCAGATTACTCTCAATCACTACACTCCTGCTTTGGCTCCTGCGGACACAGAAGTATCCTCCAGCTCAGTGGTGGGTTTCAAAAAATTTTACTACCGGTTCTATGGGTGTAGCTTGGTCAGCGTGGCATGGCTTGGCGGGCATGGCAGTGGAAGAATACTGTAAAATCTCCATTCCCTCCAGAGGAAGGTTACTGCAAAATCCCCATTTCCTCCTGATCAGCTGGGACTTGGGAGGCAGAGAATAAATGGGGCGGGGCCAGTCAGTATTTTTACTACCGGTTCACCGAACTACTCAAAATTTCCACTACTGGTTCTCCAGAACTGGTCAGAACCTGCTGAAACCCACTTCTGCTCCAGCTGCATGTAAGAATATAGTATAGTTTGTGAAATTGCATTTCTTTCTTTTCCTTCCAGATATTTCAATATTTCCAAAACTCAGATCACTAAATTTGATCTCCACAAAAGAAGTCTGTGATGCTTCCCCAGCACCATTCAATTTCACAGAACTAGAGACGAGTGTTATAACCAAACTCAAAAGCTTAGAACAACAATTTGATGAGAAGAGAAAAGTCAGCCTGCAGAAAATGGAAGAACAACTACTCAGAATAGAAAGAAAATTAGGTAGACTACAAAATTGCAAAGGTAAATATAAAAAACAAGTCAACATGCCATCAGGAAAAACAATAAGAGACCAGAATTCATAAACAAAAGCCTCCATTCAACATATGCTTGAAGAATAAAGTAGTAAGGAAGCTTTAGACTTAAGTTATAACAAATCTAATATGTTTCTACAGAAGAATCTCTTTGACTGGGGTTCAGACAACCAACTAAGCCCGAACCAAACATATTACAATATAGTTTAGTGTAATGTGTGAACTCAACGAAAATCAGGTCACATATCTCTGAGAATTAAATACATTTTACAGCCTGATGCAATATACAATATATAGTGATACATTTAGTTGTTTCAAGTAGTTTACATTGCTCTACATCCACATATGGCAGGGGAATTGACATAATACTTTACTTTTCATTCACAAACACATTAATTCATTTTTAAAAAAGTGTTAGCGATTTAGTTCATATGCTCTTCAAAGACATTATGGAGCTCAGATTGCACCCTTGTTTCTTACTTTTGGAATGGCCTTCTCTCATGTTAACCAAAGCATTGATTGAAGCATATAGTTTTGCATGCTCTATGACCCCAGCCATTAGATCCTATTCACAAATAATTTTAAAGTGAATCAAGGCTTTGTAGAAGATATACAATAAACCTAGCTTCAATGTGCTTGCAAATTCCATGAGCATGAATTTATAAGATAAACTTTTCTGGACAGTATCACAATAGCCTTGGAAATATCTACAGGTCTCATGTCAGAGGTCTGATCTTCAAAGAGAGACAAGAGAAGGGAAGGGAGGAAAAACTGTAGGGGAATTGCATTTGATAAAGCATATGAATTTTGTGGTGCAAGATATCCAGATCAGGGGTGAAATTCAGCAGGTTCTAACCTGCTTCTGGAGAACCAATAGCGGAAATTTTGAGTAGTTCAGAGAACTGGCCAGTACCATCTCTCGCTGGCCCCAGAGTGGGGTGGGAATGGAGATTTTGCAATATCTTTCCCCCAGGAGTGGGGAGGGAATGGGAATTTTGCAGTATCCTTCCCCTGGAGTGGGCAGGGAATAGGGATTTTGCAATATCTTTCCCCCAGAAGTGGGATGGGAATGGAGATTTTGCAATATCTTTCCCCCAGGAGTGGGGAGGGAATAGGGATTTTGCAGTATCTTTCCCCTGGAGTGGGGTGGGAATGGAGATTTTGCAGTATCCTTCCCCTGCCATGCCCACCAAGCCATGCCCACAGAACCGGTAGTAAAAAAATTTGGATTTCACCATTGATCCAGATCCTTCCCCAATCTTTATTATGTCATCCACCTTTGGTCCAACCAACAAACCAGGAGTGGAAAGCAATGGAAGAATTAATGGTGAGAAGAGCTACAAATGTTAAACCTTCTTTTCTTTCACCCTGCCAGGCTGTAGCATCCAACACTGGAACACTCTGTTGGTGAAGTCCTACTGAATTATCATTTTGCTTTTTTTTGGTACATAGATTAAAATGCTTGGAATTTAAAGTATGTCTCAAGCACAGGATGCTGACCAGTGAAATCTAGCTGTAATCAGAGGCCACTCAGAATTAAAAGGAAACTATTTGTAATCTGATTCAGCATTTTACATAGGTTACATAGAAGAAGATTATTTAATTTCTGTTTTAGCCTGGTTGAAGAGGCACACCTTCTATCATGTTGAAATATGCATGTGTTGTGAAGGAAGACTGCAGACTGCTAGCTGCAGACTCAAAGGGAAGAAATGAATGTATGTTGACTGAAAAATCACTGCCCTCCCCTCTAATTTTCTCCTTGCGGTGCCTCTGGAACAAGGTGACTGTGGCCTGAATAGCTGGAAGGAATTCTGCCCTCAAAAATATACCCTAAAATGGGTTTCACATTTTGTTTTCTTTTTATATAAAGTTTGGTATACTTCTGCCAAGATTGTTCTAACTCACAAGGAGGGATCATTAGCCCCATATAATTCTAAGAATCTACTATATAACATTCAGCTAGAAGGTGGCATAATTGGAATTGTTCCACTTCTTATATTTTTATCTTTTAATTGCCAGAAATCCAATCTAATCAAACCTTTATTGTCAATCCACAACATGTATGCAATGGAATTGAATGAGCCTCTTTTGTTGCAGCCTCCCCTGAAACACAAAGCCAGAAAGATAAGCAAGGACGGGATTCCCTTGTCTCTATCCCACCCCAGGTGTGGAGTCCAGATGAGGTACCTTCTGAAATTTAGGTCATGGCAGTGAAACCATGAGTATTGTATTCCAAAAGAGGAGACACAACAAGAATATGAAGAAATTTTCAACCTTCCACCCTCTGGATTTAGCAATCCACTATAGTGTTTGAGAAGAGAAGCTGATTATTACTTCCTTTTTCCACATGAATACATGTGAGCTGGGAATTAACCCCTTTTAATTTATTTATTTATTTTATTGATTTGATTTGATTTGATTTGTATACCGCCCTTCTCCAGCAGGACTCAGGGCGGTGAACAGCCGAGATAAAACAGAGCATACAAAATTTAAAAAACAATTTAAAAGGTAATTAAATAATTTCGGCCCACAATTTAAAACAACCCAATTAAAACCATTTTCAAATTAAAACCAAAACGGATGGGATCAAGCCAGCCCAGCTAGTTGAAATAAATGAGTTTTCAGGGCCCGACGAAAAGTCCGGAGGTCTGGTATCGTGCGTATCTCTAGGGGGAAGTCGTTCCAGAGGACGGGTGCTGCCACAGAGAAGGCTCTCCCCCTGGGGGTCGCCAGCTGACATTGTCTGGTGGACGGCACCTTGAGGAGGCCCTCTCTGTGCAAGCGTACTGGCCGGTGGGAGGCTATTTGTGGCAGAAGGCGGTCTCGTAAGTACCCCGACCCTAAGCCATGGAGCACTTTAAAGGTGGTCACCAACACCTTGAAGCGCACCCGGAAGACCACCGAGAGCCAGTGCAGCTCACGCAGGAGAGGTATCACATGGGAGCGCCCTGTCGCTCCCATAATCCCCCGCGCGGCCACATTCTGGACCAGCTGGAGCCTCCGGTTGCACCCCAAGGGGAGCCCCATGTAGAGAACATTGCAGTAGTCCAGGCGGGAAGTGACGAGTGCCTGAGTGACCGTGCGTAGGGAGTCCCGATCCAGAAAGGGACGCAACTGGCATATCAGGCGGACCTGATAAAAAGCCTCCTGGCCACGGCCGTCATATGCTCTTCTAAAGACAGCCGTGCATCCAGGAGGACGCCCAAATTGCGAGCCCTCTCAGACCTTCTTTACCAAAAGTCAAGACTTTTGACTTGGTTAGCAGGGACGGCCTTTATAAAATTCTCCCCAAGATTGGATGTCCACCTCAACTCCTCAACATCATCAGGCCCTTTCATGAGGAAATGAAGGCCACTGTAGCTTTTGATGGCTTAACATCAGATTCCTTTGATATTCAAAGTGGAGTGAAGCAGGGCTATGTCCTCACACTAACTTTATTCGGGATCTTTTTTGCTGTCATGCTGAAACATGCTTTTGGAACTGCAACAGAGGGTATTTACCTCCAGACCAGATCAGATGGAAAACTCTTGAACTCTAGATTGAGAGCAAAGTCTAAAGTCCAGCTGAAATGCTTATGGGATTTCCTCTTCGCTGACGATGCTGCCATCACTGCTCACTCTGCTGAAGACCTTCAACAGCTTATGGACAGTTTTAACAAGGCCTGCCAAGACTTTGGACTAACAATCAGCCTGACAAAAACACAAGTCATGGGTCAGGATGTGGATTCACCTCCCTGTATTACAATCTCTGCACAAAAACTGGAGGTCGTCCATGACTTTGTGTACCTCGGCTCAACTATCTCTGACACACTCTCTTTAGATACTGAGCTGAATAAACATATTGGTAAAGCAGCCACCACATTTTCCAGACTTACAAAGAGAATATGGCTTAATAAGAAGCTGACGGAACATACAAAGATCCAGGTCTATAGAGCCTGCATCCTGAGCACACTCTTGTACTGCAGTGAGTCTTGGACCCTTTACACACGGCAGGAGAGAAAGTTGAACACCTTTCATATGTGCTGTCTCCAATGTACTCTTAGCATCACCTGGCAGGACAAAGTTCCAAATACCACAGTCTTGGAACGTGCTGGAATTTCTAGCATGTATACACTATTGAAACAGCGATGTCTACGCTGGCTTGGGCATGTCATGAGAATGGCTGATGGTTGGATTCTGAAAGATCTCCTGTATGGGAATTAGTGCAGGGAAAGCGCCTCAGAGGGAGACCACAGCTGCGATATAAAGATATCTGCAAGAGGGACCTAAAGGCCCTGGGAATGGACATTAACAACTGGGAAACCTTGCCTCGGCAGGCTGAGGCAAAGAGGCAGTCCCAGAACCAGTGAAATCTGGGGGCTGGGCAGGGGACAGAATGTATCTGCCCTCAGTGTGGAAGGGATTGCCACTCTCGAATTGGCCTTTTTTAGTCACACTAGATGCTGTTTTAGGACCTGTTTCCAGAGCACGATACCATAGTCTTTTGAGACTGAAGGATGCCAATGATGATCAATGAATGATCTTCATTACCAAGAAAAATGGGAATAAAGTAAAGAAAATGTCTTCCCACCTTCAGTATAGCAAACATAAGGAATTTTAGTAATTTATCACTTTCTCTTCAAATATAACAAACGATATCTTCTTCATGTCCCATCCCTTACCTACAAACAAATCCTTAAAGCAGCATCATTTCAATCATAATATCAGCCATTAAGTGCATTAAAAGTTACTAGAAATAATGCCTATTTAACCCTGATCAAATAAACCAACTTTATATTCTTCCCTTTTACTTCTAACAAATTTAATCTTTAGTCCATTCAAACCATATTATAACATTTGAAACTTTAGCAAATCTGTTTTATAAATCCAAAATAGAAAAATTATTCAGGTCATTCTCTTGGTTTATTATTGGTATATGACTTTTAATTATTAAAATATCAGCCAGTTTCTTTTGTACGTCCAGGGTAATTTCCTTTTCTTTTTTCCTGCCGTTCTTGCAGCCAGATGTAAATCCACTTTCAACTCAGTCTCTTTCTTCTCAGGTAAAACCAGGGGTGGACTGCTGGGGGTTCGCAAGGGTTCGGGAGAACCTCTAGCTAAGATTCTGTGCAGTTCGGAGAACCCCCAAATCCCTTATTTTTTTTTTAATTCAAAACAAACAAACATACTTTCTCACAGGAAGGATTCTTTATAGTTAGTTCTATATTAATTCCAAAATCTTGTTTCAAATTTATCTGGGCCCTTAGTTTATTTGAAGCTTTTTAAAAATCAAAGTTTTAATCAACCATTTGCTGTTTAGTAAAAAAAGTTCTTAAGCTGGTAGTTAAAATTTTCTTTCATCAAGGATTGAAGGCAGATTCATCCAGTATTTTCAGATTTGTCATTCCAAAAATTTCTAATAGATGAAAAGTAGTTAACAAGCAGTTTCCAAATGTCATTAGAAAAGGAAGGATACAAACTTAGGGCTCTTTTTAAAGTGATGACCAAGGTTTGAGTAACGTGGTTATTTCCTCATCTCTCAGTGCCTAAAATCATTTGCAAACTGCTGCCTTGCAATTTCCTTGCAAGGACCAACAGTTTGGAGTACTTGATGGTTCTTTCTGGTTTTTTTCAGACAGATACGAAGAGCTAGTCTACTCACTAGCTCTTCATTCTTCTGTTCTATCCTGTTGCCAGCTCTGTTTTTTTTATTGAACTGTCTTCAATCCACCAATTTTTTCTTCCCGGAGTCTCTGCCCCCATTTTAAAACAATTCTTCTGTACAACTTTCCTGTTTCAGATACTTCATGGCGGAAGTTTCAGACAAATGTTTACTACTTCTCTGACACAGAAGAAAATTGGAAGATGGCAAGAGAAAAATGTGCTGATCTTGATTCTCACCTTGTCATTATTAATACCAAGCAAGAACAGGTAAACTCTACATATTCCTGCAAGAAATAGCTTTATTCTTTTCTTGTACACCTTCTTTGTAGTACAACTTCCTCATCTTAACCTTTTCACACTGCCTGCCTCCTGTGTAGAATCTGAAAAGGGAAACCAAGTATCAGCATTCAGCACCTTAGTTAATAGCACTTAGAAATAGCACTTACACTTATATGCCACTTCACATAGTAACTATTATTTAAAAACTTGGCTTTGTGCCATGCTCATATATAAATACACACCTGTAAAAAATATTACTAGTATTATTTTCATTTAGGCAGGAATTGCATAGATTAGACTAATACTGTTTTGCCCTTGCCTCTTTTACTGTAGCTCTATGCTAATTGTGTTCATATAGACTCAATGAACTATAAACTAGCTAACTACATGTTAGCTTTGTGCATTGTGAAAATCAGTTTGGGTTGCTAATGTATATCTTGGATATTGTATATATTGGATTAACTGAATCAACTGTGCTAAGTGCAACCACAAACTCTTCTTCCTCCACTTATTCAAGCTTCTCTTTCCAGTTTCTGCTTCTTTTGCTGGACACCACATATATTGTTCTACAGATAGTCTTCCACTTACAACCATTCATTTAAGTATATCAAAGATACAACAGTACTGAATAAAATGTTTTACCAACAGTCCTTGCAGTTACAACCATTGCAGCATCCCCAGTCAAATTATCACAAATTGGACACCTGGCATCCAGCATGTTGCATTGTCCTGGGGTCACATGATCACCATTTGCAACTTTCCCAGGTGTCTTCTGACAAGCAAAGTCAATGGAGGAAGCTGGATGTCCTTAAACACCATGTGATTCACTTAACTGCAGTGGTTCGCTTAACAACCATCTGGAAAAAGATTGTAAAATTGGGCATGACTCACTTAACAACTGCCTTGCTTAGTAACAAAAATGCTACTCCCAGTTGTGATCAGAAGTGGAGGACTGCCTGATAGTATTTTTATTGATCAAAAATATTGTGGGTGCATACAAAAACCTTACTGGCATTCTCTGAAAATAAAAATATCTGGCAGCTACAGGGGCTTTTTTAACACCTTTTTTATCTGCCTAGAAAGATAGCAAATGTCAGCCACAGCAATATGGAAATGAGCCCGATTGGAGGAAACAACCTCACAAGGTTATTGTTGTTGAAAAAACTAGGAAAAAGAAGGAGTATTATGTATGTTTGTTGCCTGAAGTTACTTATAAAGTGTTGGAATACAGTTTTCTTGTATCTTTATGCAACAACTACAGTAGTATTTAGCCAGTAAATGGCAGTATTTACAAGTTTGGATCTATGGTATATACTCTAAGTTCTTTTGTTCTAAGTAGAGTTTCCTGTTTCAGTTAAACGATTAAGCAGTAAAGCATATGGTGACTATAGTCTTTGTTTGATCTGTGGTGCAATATATAAACAGAATTTCTAACAAAGTAATAAAGGTGAACTAAAAATCTAATAAATAAATATCCCTTCTGATAAATATAGGGCTGCCCAATCAGGACAATTGTTAAATGGCAGCCAAGAATTGGAGTTTGGCGTGTCTCTTTGCTGCCCTTTAATGTGCATTTAGCTTTTTTCCACCACAGAAATAGAAAAAGCCCCAGATAAGTGGGTGTTTTATAACGGGCCACACTCAGCCATTTAGTGAATAGCAAGCTCCCCCATCTCATGGCAATTGTTGCATGATTGTGCTCATAAAATGCCTTCCAGTGTGCCCATTGGCCCAAAATAAAAGGGTATACTGGTAATAAAGTATAAAGGGAAGTGGAAAGGGAGCAAGCAGCAGACAGAGGGGTAGTATGCCCCTACCTGTCCTTTTGGGCTTCTTGCTGACTTTTAATATCATCAACCATCCTACCTGGACTATCATGTTAGAGACTATTGGCACTAGCACTGATGTTACCTATTTTGGGTAATGAAACATCTGCAAGAAAACAACCAAGCTCTCTAAGGAGATTCTCAGTCATCCAGATCATGGTTATCCCAAAGGTGCTTTTTTAAAAGGCAACTGGACTCTCTTTGTTTTTCTTTGAAGACGTTTTGCTTCTCATCTAACAAGCTTCTTCGGTTCTGCCGTTCTGAGGAAGCTTCTTGGATGAGAAGTGAAACGTCTTCAAGGAAAAACAAAGAGAGTCCAGTTTCCTTTTGAAAATGCACCTTTGGACAACGAAGCTCAGAAAGCACCAAGGACCCCTTATTGTTGGCACCATTTGCAGTGGTTCCACCTTTTTCTTCCTGAGCAGTTTCAGACAGAGGTAGTAGGGGATGAGAACTCAATCCACTGGCCATAACAGATGGGTGTCACAGGGGTCAGTCCTCCCTTCCATGCTTTTCAATATCTATATGAAGCCACTGTATGAGTCTTCAGGATCTTAAGGTCCATTATCATCAACATGCTGGTGACACTCAGTTTTACATCACCACCCTGGGTGAAGACTGTCAATGTGAGAGTTTGGATGGAAAAGACAGAGATTGTATCCATGTAATATCGAACTGTTTTTTGCACATGAAGATTTGCTGTCAACTTCAATGTTGATCTGCTTGTAATGATTCATGCCTTCACCACCACCTACTGGGAGTACTGCAATGTATTTTATATCAGACTGATCCCAATCTATATAGAAACTGCCACCGATAACTGATCCAGAATGTGGCAGCTCTCATACTTACTAAGTTCCAGTGATGGAAGCATGTAATACTGATTTTGTGGGCCTGCACTGGTTTCCAGTCTCTGGGGACTACTATTTAAGATATTTCAGTTAGAGCCCAAGCTGAGTAGGACCAAAATTAGAAGGCACTTCATTTCTGTGGCAGCACCAAAGTTCTAGAATGGCCTCCCAATGAAAATCAGTCATCCCCTCCCTACAGGCTTTCAGAAAACTATTGAAAATGGAACTTTTCTGGAAGCATTCTCTTAATTTAAGCATTGCACCACTTTTATTTTATTATATTATTATTTTATTATTCCTGTTTGCTTCTTGTCGCCACTGAGGCTTTCTAACATTATTTGCTTTAAAATTGTACTATGATTTGTTAGTATATTCTATGCTCTATAAAATGCCAAAAATGCTAGAATGGCATGTTACAAGAGATAGGCAGGCAGGGAAGAGATAGACATACTGCAGATTTCACTTGCATGACATTTGAACAGAGATGTTTCCTCCTAGGATTTTGTGATTGAGACTTTAAAACAATCCATTTGGCTTGGCTTAAATGATACAGAGGAAGAAGGAACTTGGCGTTGGATTGATGGATCACCACTGGGCGAACTGAGGTATGTGTGCATGTGTGTGTGTGAGAGAGAGAGACAGACATACATGCATACATACATACATTTTAGGAGTCACATAGATTAGAAACTTGCTGAGCTATCTGGAGTCATATTTACTCTAGTTCAGCGGTTCCCAACCTTTCTGGCTTAGTGGCCCAGCAGGGAGATGAGGGAATAGTTCCTTGTGGGCATGTGCCCACCACTCACACAAACAGACTTTCGTGCACGAGCGCAAGTGGCCACTGTTCATGTAAGGGGAGCTTTGTGTGGGAGGGCAAGTGGGAGCTGCTAATGCAAGGGAAGGAGCCTGAGTGGCATAGGAGGCTAATGCCTCCTAAGGCAGCATTTAACATCCAGATGCCTGCAATTACTGCGAGTTCAATTCTCACCAGGCTCAAGGTTGACTCAGCCTTCCATCCTTTCTAAGGTGGGTAAATTGAGGACCCAGTTTGTGGGGTCAATAAGCTGACTTTGTATAAATATACAAAAGTATGAAGGCTATTGCTTAACGCATTGTAAGCCACCCTGAGTCTCCGGAGAAGGGCGGCATTAAATCAAATTTAAAAAAAAAAAAAAGCTTTGCACACACACATGCGCTTGCTTGCTGCTTGCGCAGCCCAACAGGCCATGGCCTGGTAGTGGGCTGTGGCCCAGGGGTTGGGGACCCCTGTTCTAGCTTGAGTTCTTTTGCTGACACTGAAGCAAAGAGTATTCATTCAATTATTTCTTTTCTCACACCCGGGGTGATTAACAATAAAAAATCAATGCTAAATAATAAAAAGCATTGTAATTATTATACAAGCATATAAAAGAATCAACTAAAACCTGAAGAGTGGAAGAAAATTCCCCCTTATCTTAATTACCAGCAGTGCCCAAATTGTTCACAACTTCAATCCAGAATTTCGTGTCCAGTTTGTTGTCACAAATGGATATGATAAATGGATGGATATGGAAAAGATGTAGACCTGGGTCAATGAAATCTCTGACTTATGTAACAGATGAACAGTGGTTAATTCAGCCATGTTCAGGAAGACATTGTAGGAACCTTCTCATAATTGACAACACTAATTTGGAATTCTCCTATCTTGTCTCATTATGGTGTAGTCTAACACCCTCTTGTGTTCTTTTTGGAGGATTTATCTTTTAGATCTTTCCTATTTACTTAATATTTTTATTTATCCAAATCTGGGAGTTTTATGAAATAGAAGATTTATGAAATTATGTTATGGAAAAATGGATAGATGACTGGCAAAAATAAAAAGAAATATCCTTCAAGTATTTAGTTTGCCAATACTATACAAGTTACCAATTATGCTTTTCTGTAATACCATGTACCCAGGCAGTATAAAGATTCTAAGTAAAGGAAGATATGTTTGCGATTAACAGAATTTAAAAAGGAATAATGAATTTTGCCCCATTTTCAGGAGCTGGAGAACAGGTGAACCCAATAATAATGGGAAAAATGGTGAAGATTGTGCTGTCCTATATAAAGAGGGAAATTGGAATGACATTCGGTGTGATACACGAGTTAAGTTTGTGTGTGAAAAGAAAGAGGTCTCTGTGCAATGACTTTCCTTGTATATGTCTCTTAATTCAAGAGGGTTTCTCTTTTCCAAATTTGGTAGAGAATTCCCGATATAATGCTTATTTGTATGGGTAATTAAAGATCAACACCGCTGCCTTGGTTACCTAGATAATTTTGACCAAGCAGGACTTTTAGTGATAGCTCATATACACAGTATACCTTTCATAGTTTCTTCTCATAAAGCCAGCCCTCTGCCTAAAACAACCTTGTCACTTGTTCACCAAGACTGTTTCCAATATCACCATAACTTTGCTGAAATGCAGGTAGAGCAGCTTCGTAAATGAACATTTAAAGTAAAGTAAAATGGAAATTGTTGTATTCCCTAAAAAGATATAATTCCCTAACCCTCTTTTTTAAAATTCCAGATTATTTTGCACTTTGCCATATTCCTCCCTAGGCTCTTTATTTCAGTTGGCAGAGCCATTTGGATTTTGTGTCTTCTACTGGTATCTTATTGTTCTGATCTAAGGAGCATCACCTGTAGATTTGGGGGGATAACTGCACAAAAAAATCTTTTTAGAAAATGCCAACACCATTGACAATACCTCATTGGAATGGTTCTCCATTTTTGATCCAAGATTAATACTTAATAATAGAGCCATGGTGGCAGTGGTTAGAATGCAATATTTCAGGTTAATTTTGCCAATTGGAGTTAGATTCTGACTGGCTCAAGGTTGATTCAGCCTTCCATCCTTTCAAGGTTGGTAAAATGAGGTCCCAAATTGTTAGGGGCAATATGCTGACTCTGTAAACCACTTAGAGGGCTATAAAGCACTGCAAAGCGGTACAGGTATCCTCGACTTACAACAGTTCATTTAGTGATGTTCAAAGTCACAACAGTACTGAAAAAGTGACTTATGACATTTTTTCGCACTTATGACCTCTGTAGCATCTCCATAGTCAGATGATCAAAATTCAGATACTTGACAGCTGACTCATATTTATGACAATCAGTGTCCTGGGGTCATGTGATAATCTTTTGTAGCCTTCTGACAAGCAAAGTAAATAGGAAAGGCAGAATCACTTAACTGTGTTGTTAACTTAACAACTGCAGTTATTCACTTAACTGTGGCAAGAAAGGTCGCAAAATGGGGCAAAATTCACTTAACAAATGCTTCACTTAGCAACACAAATTTTGGACCCAATTGTGGTCGAATGTCAAGGACCACCTGTATAAGCCTAAATGCTATTGCTATATTCTTCCAAACAAAGAGGCAACCTCTTGAACATCAGAAAAGCTGAAATGGAGGACCATCACTAATAAGGCAGCCAGAAAGACAGGAATTTCTGACGTGTTTTTGCAGTATTTTTTTCAAATTCAGACTTAAAAAGTGTCAGTATGTAGCAAGCAACTATACAAAATTGAATTTTAATTGTAAATAATGTTACAGGGCTATTTGCAAACTATTTTTCCTGCATGGGCTTTCAACAGGCAAAGGACACTTCCAACTCTACCTACCTACTTAAGGTCCCTGTCCTAATGTTCCCTTTTATTCGTATCCATTTCATGTATTCATAATTATGTTTATACTTTTATCTGTTATCTAATACATGCTCGACGAAATAAAATAAATAAATAAATAAAACTCAAATTGGACCCTCGATCGGCAATGTATGACATTTTTTTTCTCGGCGTTCCCCATCAAGGACTATAAACAGCATGTTCACCTTGATTTGCCTCGACAAATGTTGACAAATGGATAATAAATAAATAATTCATTGGAAATTGGGGGGAAAAATGCACTGCGCTTCTGGATTCCTTTCCCCCCCCCCTCTCCCCACGGGTGAATTTGCAGGCGCCGAAACGGAACCCCCGCCTGCAGTTTTCTTTCTGTCGCGCAACATTTGGGAAGCAAAGCCGACGCCGCGGCTTCATCGGCAACCAACTGCTGAGAACTCTGAGCGAGATGCGCCAAGGCCGCGAAGGAGTTCCGGTTGGGGGGGGGGAGAGAGAGAGAGAGAGAGAGAGAGACAGACAGACAGAGAGAGATTCGAGCGCTTTCAAGGTGGACTCCACGACCGCTTCCGGTTCCGGGGGGGAGAGCGAGCGAGCTTTTAAGGCGGACTCCGCGAGCACTTCTGGTGAGTGAGAGAGAGAGAGAGAGAGAGAGAGAGAGAGAGAGAGAGAGTCAGTCAGTCAGTCAGTGTCAAGCGCTTTTAAGGCGGACTCCGCGAGCGCTTCCGGTTCCGGTTGGGAGAGAGAGAGAGAGAGAGAGAGAGAAAAGCGGAAACGACGGAAGCCAGCTGAAGCGAGGGGCAGAGTCCTTGGCGGCGATGGGGGCTCATTTAGCCCGCCGGTATTTGGGGGACTCGGAGGTGGAGCCCGACATTTCCGCCTTGCCCACCTTCGATGCCCACCTCGGCCTCCCCGAGCGCAAGGAACGCGGTGAGCAGCGCCGGAGCGGGTCGCGAAGAAGGAAGGTCACCCCGCGCTGAGCTCCGCCCTTGTGGCTCCGAGAGTCCCAGGCTGGGCGGCCGGCAGCTCTCCGGGGCTACGAAACGTTGATCGCGCAGATTTTGGCCCGTCGAAGCTGGGATCCAGAGGGTGCCAGGCTCTCCTGCCCCCCCCCCTTTTTTGGGGGGGGGGTTAGCTCCGGCCGTGTCCTCCGGCGCGGAGCTTGTTCCCCCAAGGTTGCCTCTTTCTCAGCCGGATTGCCTACGGGAGGCGTAGTTTTCTTAGGTGCCGTTGAGAGCTAATTCGGTGTGGCGTGGTTAAGAAGCACGAAGTGGAGCAACCGGGGCCCAGTTTCTCATTCGGCCTCCCTTTTCTCACGAGACAAATGTAGGCGAGCGATGCACGGATCTTTCTGGCTCTCTAGAAGGAGAGGATCGCCCCTTAAATCAATGCATTGAGACAGGGACTCCAGGGATTCCATCTGCATCCAAGGTGCTTTTTCCAAGAGGCGACTGGACGTACTCTCGTTTTTCTTCGAAGACGTTTCGCTTCTCATCCAAGAAGCTTCTTCAGCTCTGGATGAGAAGCGAAACGTCTTCGAAGAAAAACCAGAAAGTCCAGTCGCCTCTTCAAAATGCACCTTTGGGACAACCGGGACCTGGATGACCGGGAACCTCCATAGCCGATTCCGTTTGCAAATTTCTCTCCAAAATTTAAGAACTAAGTGATATGTTGGGCATCCACTAGATCAGTGGTTCTCAACTTTCGTAATGCCGCAACCGTTTAATACAGTTCCTCATGTTGTGGTGACCTCCAACCATAAAATTATTCCTAAAACCATTGAAAATATTTGTTTTCCATTGGTCTTAGGCGATCCCTGTGAAAGGGTCGTTCGACCCCCAAAGGGGTCGCGACCCACAGGTTGAGAACCACTGCACTAGATGCTTGCTTTCTTCCTTTTGCATTATAAATACATTTAATACGATCATCCATTCCAATGGACTCTAGGTACCTTGCAAAATAGAATATTAGATCAAAATGATTTAAACAAAACTTACAAGACAGGTTGGACCAAAAGCAACCATCCAAATAAACTACAAAGATCCCTCCCCTCCCAATACATTAACCTCAGGCCTGAGACCAAAGGCAGGTTTTCAGGGCTGTTCAGTACCCCAGGAGAGAGGGTGCCTTCCATATCTGGAGGTGATGTTGTTCCAGAAGGTGGAAGGCTTTACAGAAAAGGTGCACTTTCTAGATCAGGGGTCTCCAACCGTGGCAACTTTAAGACTTGTGCACTTCAACTCCCAGAATTCCTCAGCCTGCAAAGCAAAGCTGACTGGGGAATTCTGGAAGTTAAAAGTCTACAAGTCTTAAAGTTGCCAAGGTTGGAGACCCATGTTCTAGATCACACAAGGTGACAATTTTTAATAGAAGGGACCTGGAATGCACCCATTCTAGAACATACCAGGCAAGCAGAAACAATGGAAGAAATTCCTGCCAGAATTGAATGTGAATCCTTTCTCACAGCCACACCTTACTTACTGGTAGTTATGTTTACATCCTTACAACAAGTCTTTGAAATAATTTGGGTTGAAATATAATGAGCTTCATTAGCTTTCAGGGTGGATAAAAATTGATGTTTTTTAAAAAATAAATTAAAAAAATTGGATTTTTAAATTTTAAATTGAATTTTTTTTTATTTTTATCAAATTTATTTTAAAATGCTTTTGGAGTAAAAATCTATCTAAAGATAGTTTTCTATTTAAGATACATTAATAATTTAGTTTATTCAGCATGAAATGGAGCTTAGTTATGTAGCATGAGGTTGTATATTTGCAATATTTACATTTTTGGTAAACTCATTCAATGAATCCAAGCTCTGCAAGCTGAGATAACATGCACTGCATTGATGCATTCACACAATTTCACAGTAACCATGAGATAAATCATAAAACAAAGTTCAGGAATATTCCTTTATCCCATTGTTTTGCAAATCTATGTACACTACAAACTCTATGATTGTTTGAAGAGAGATGCATCTGTATCACGAGGCTGTAAGTGTGAGGAGAAAGGGCAAGCAGAAAAAATGAAAGTGAAACCTAAGCAGTTTATAAATATAATATTATATTAAAGAGCACCTGTCATTTCAGATCCATCATGGCAGCACCTGTTAATGGGCATCCACTCGCCTGCTGCCTGCCATGTCCCTCACCTTGTTGTTTCACTGCCGCATCACCAGCCGTCCCATTAAAGTGAATAGGACTATTGGTGAGTCAAAAGCGGGTCAGAGGAGGAGCTGCTGCAGGACAGAGATGACAGTTGCTCTTTAAAAATTATGATTTAAATCGAGTCGATTTAAATCAAGCCTTTTTACTAGTGATTTAAATTGTGATATAAATCAACTTGATTTAAATCAAATTCACCCTGTTAGCTTTCATATGAACATTAGTCATTGTACACAATGAAATTGATTACTAACGTTGGTGTAGATTATTGTTCTCCTGTCAATAAAACTGGTTAGAAGCTTCTTGCAGAATTCATATATGCAGCTAGTAATAGAATCATGTTGCAAAATATCCTGGGTGGACTCAGGTTGTATATAGAGTAAGGCAATGATAATATCTGCCCGAAATATATGATGCCTTTGATTTGACCTCTGTTGATACATTTGGAGAATATATCATATCTCTTCGTTGGCTGTCTTTTTTTTTCCCCTTCAAGATTGTTCAGTTCCTTCCATTTCCCTTCATAGCACTTAATTTCTAGTCCCCCAATCATTTTTGCTGTTGCTGTTCTCTAAGCCTCTTCCAATATTTTGGATTAAGTGTGATACATTTGTCTTTCTTGTAATTGCTGGCAGTATTTCAGTTTGCAACTGGCTACTATTCTAACCTTTTTACAAATTTAGAAGTACTTTCCATCTATATCTGTTCATCTTTTTCATAATTGAAATTTTGCATTTGTTTATGTTAAATTTCATCCTATTACTTTTAACCATTTCTCTAATCCAACGATTCTCAAACTCTTCATTTTTTAGTGGTCTGTGGGGTCCAATAGATAGTCTGTCCCCATATTAACCCCAGTCATTGGGTCAGAGCTTACTTGCTGCTTCTACGTTCACTCCTGTTCATCACCAGTTAGCTAGTTCATAATGATGGATCAGTGGCTGACAAAAAGTTTATTGAAGGAAATGAGTGATAATAAAATAATGTTAGTATTACAATTAAGAAATCTGATAATACTGAGTAGGTCTCAGTAGGCGGTTGAAGTGCAAATGAACATTTTTATCAGCAAATATATGCTAATGCTGTTATGGAATAGAACACAAAAAATAACTCAAGTGGTAAACATTTTTTGTATAAAATCTAATTTTAAAATGCTTTTAAAAATTCAGAGGATCGGAAGACATATTCAAATGCAATTATAATCAGTAGTTTATTTTCTCCAAAATATACAACTTCCATGCTCCTGAAGTAAAAAATAAAGGGTAGGTGTATTGTTTAAATGCTTGGTACTTGCTTCTTCTTAATTTCTATTTAGTAGATCGCAGTTATAGTTTTGCAAAATGCTCAAATTCTTCACGATTTTTAATTATGCTTTTGTTTCCTAGAATATTAGCTAACAATTTTATATAAGCTTTTTCATCCAAGTCAATAATAAAGACTTTGACAAGTACATCTTGACAGACTAATTTAACCTTTTTTCATTGAGTAACTTCTTTAATAAATTGTGGGAGTGATAGAGACATGATACAGTAAAGCACTTAATAAATATCTTATGACATTCTTATTAATAATTTGATTAAGCACGGGCTGAATGGCATAACTGAATGATTCCATAGCTGATTTCAAAATAATACTCAAAGAACACTCATCAATAATTCCTCATCAGATTGTTGTGGTCTGTAAATTTTAATTGAACAGGTTCTCTAAATTAACTTGCTGAATATGCTTTTGAAAACAGCTTTTGCAGCATCTGTTAGAGAATTCCAAATGGTTGATCTTGAAGAAGAGCTTCCATTTAGATTTTAATCCCCCTTTCCATCTTTTTCTCCTCCTGTTTTCTCCTACAGTGATGATAGCAACTCATCAAGAGATGAATGATGCCCAGATTCCTTACAAATTCCGGGATTATTGTGCCCATCATTACATAACATGGATGAAGTGCAGACGTGACACATATCCTTTTTCAATCAATGGGTGCAAAC